TTTCCTAAATAAAAATTATTTTTGAAATTAAATGCTTTAAAATCTAATTCAACGCTCAATAACCTGCACACAATACCCTGCACGGCGAAGGAAATAATGACCATCGAGTGCCAGCAGTTTTAGGTTCATTATTGGTGCAAATTGAACTTACAAAAAGCATGGAATTCAGTCTGCACGATTTCTGCATGAAATCTTAGGAGTATGTTTGGTTTTTTCCCTACAGAAGGCGTACAGATTGACTCCAGCGCATCTAGCCACTGAATCGCTTACTAACGGACCTGTTTACGATTGAAATCGACCTTACATTTAAATTTTTGTGATTAGGTTACGCGCGATTTGTGAGATTTTGTGTATTGGCGTGGTGGATTCAAATTTTCCAGAATTCTAGTGACTGCTTTACTGATACGCGCAAAGGTCGGATTATTGAATTACGCATTTTCAGCCAAGAATTCGAAGCTTTTTTTCTAGGCACCCACTGAAGTGGGCGACTTTATATTTTTTCCTCATCTTTTAATTATTCATACGCCAAGAAAGTACGTAAACAAATCCTGTCTATGAATGTACTATAACGGCACAAATCATTTGTGTATCGGCAAAACCCCTGGCGGTATTTTGGGGCAACACATTCAGATATCATACAGTCCATGTTACTCGACTTTCGTTTTCATACAGAAATCGTACTTCTATTTTGGTATCAAGTTTCGTTGTATCTATGTAGTAGTAGACGATGGCGTGGCGTCAGTAGGTGTCACCCAGGCAAAACTAATGGTATCACCGTTTCCCCATAAAGTAAAAATAAAAATATCTACTGCTGAGCAGTTTATACCATATGTAATAAAAATAGAAGCAAATTTGCACCTGACATTTATTTATAATATATTAAAAACCGTATATAATTAAGAATAATTTAAATATGGTTTTTAAAGACAATCTAAAACGAAGTAAACTAATTAACAAATGTTTGTTTTTTATAAAATCACTTTTCGAAGTTTAAGATCGGCAAACTTGTCTATAAAATCATGAAAATCTATAATTTTTAAATAAATTAATAAAATGGTATAATTCCAACACTAAAATGTTCCAATTGGTATCACAAGTAAAATGGTGCCACCCGGGGTGGACCGTCGCCCTTGCTCCCATCTAACCACTGCCTCTAGAAGCCATGAGCCCTGCCGCAGATTCTCAACGCGCGGGGGACCTCGCTGCCGCAGGCCTCCTCCGCGTGGAGGCGGCTGTGGCCAGCCGGCGGCCGCACGGGGGGCGTCACCTGCGCAACACTACAACACCCTCTTCCCCCACCCACCACCGTGCCCTCTCGCCGAGGGGTAGAAGGCCCTTCCAGCTGCTTGCGTTCAGGCGGCGGGTGTTCAAGCATTTAATTCGCTCCAAATGGGCACGCAAAAGGCTCATGCAATGTTGGATTCAGCAATAAAAATGTCGAAGTAATGGGAACAAAAGTTACGATTTTTGTTTGATAAATGCTCTAAATGTTTTCAATTAGGCCCATTATGTTCAGGTGGCTTCACTTGGCGGTCGTAGTACTACCACCTGGTGCAGAGGATATTGAAAACAGTTCACTTTTGAACAAGGAGATAAACGTAGACATTGCTGTCTATATAGACTAAGCCTCGTTGTTTTCAAAATTGACAATTTCCTTTATAACAATCTGTTGGTATAGGGAACTTTAGCAGTTTAACAAGTGAAATATAAAGAAACGGCAGTGTAAGGTACAAGGGTAGATAAACGATAACATGAGATTTCTATACAATATTCTGAAACACAAACAAGAATTCTTTGTTTAAATATTTAAAAGCCCGATCTAAACGAAAGGGGATACTTCCAAAGCTTTTATGCCTTGTTCCTCATGGGCAATCGTGCATAGAGACACGCGCCGTTGGGCATTTTCATTTTCACCTTCACCGAGATTCTTTGAACCTCAAATCGCTAGCTAATAGCAGGATGCATCCCCTTTACTACTGAGTATAAAGAATGGAAGCCGTCGCGCGTTGTTGTGGGGAAAGAAGCGGCTGGTTGGTTGGTCATACGATACTTTCCCCTAAATCAGGTCTAGCGACAAAATGTATGTGTCCACAGCTTGTTATACTCTGACGCGTTGTCTTCAAAATAATTCAAGAGGTCATTTCTTCTTTGATTTTTGAATGAAAAACGGAGGAAAAGGGAAACAGAATAAGCTAATTGATTAAATGAGGTATCCTTAGATAAATTTATAAGCAATTTCTGTCTAGGATTCAAAAAAGTATTCTTTGTCTAGGATTCAAAAACGTCGTGGTGAAAGCGCTATTGTATGTGTGAAATTAGACTGCTATTAGTGTGCTATACTTACGAAAGAAGACGCGCTCTTCAATAGAACAGACATGATAATTGTTGGGGAATAATTAATGCTGAAAAGAGAAATATTGAGGGCAAATTGAAATGTGTGTTAAGCGATTAGCACTTAGAAAATTTAAGACTGAATAAAAAGCCTATATGTCGGCATAAAACATATACTCGTACCAACACCTGGGAAATAATATACAGTTGCTATTAAACTGGAGATAATGACTCTGTCTTTCTTTGTATATTTTTGTTGTGAAAGGTCGTAAGCCTAAAATGCAAGATGAGTCTTTTTTAGCGCTGTCAGAGAATATGAAATCAAATTGGTTTCGATGAAAAATATTGCATTTTACTTCGATTTTCTTCAAACTAGTTGAAGTTCGGTTCAGGTTCCATCATTCCTTCTCAGGTGACACGTAGAATGTTTGATAAAGAAAATGACTCACGTTCAACTTTATCGTATACGGTACGTTTGCATCCGTTGCTTTGGTGGTACACGCTGCAACTAGGGCGAGCAACAGCAAGTAACTCAACCCGACCATCGCGATTCGGCTCGGCCCTCGCCACATGCCGCCTGCGTGGCGGCGCCTGAATATCGCTAAAACAAAGGACGGGCGCTTTAAAGAGCGGACGCCGTCGCGCATTGTTGCGAGGCGCGCGTGGTGTTGCGACAGCAGGCGGACATCTGCCGGCCGCCGCCGCCGCTGCTGCTGCTCCGCGCCCCGCCCCCACCGGGCGCTCGTGGCAGGCGGCGGGCGCGCGCCGGTCGCGTGCGCGCGCGCGCCGCGTGGTGGGGAGGGGGGGCGCCGCCGCCGCCGCCAGTGCCACCCTGTTGCGCTTCAGCCCCTCCGTAATGAGCGGCGGCCCAGGCGGCAGATGGGTGATGCGCCCTCAGCCCTCGCCCTCCGCCGCCCTCCAGGCACGTCGGAAGTAGGGGGCGGAGAGTCCCTCTGCCTGGAAATAGACGCTTCTAGAAACTTTGGGGGAACGCTGTGAATGTCAAGCGGTGAAACTTTGAACAGTACATCGTAAGAAGAAGAGACATTGTTTGATGAAAGTTCTTCGAGAAATCAAACTCAATGAAAGAAAAACAACTTCGTTCTCGCAAGTGAAATAGCTATGCGAAAAAAAAATTCTAGAAATAATTTTCTTGAGATGTTCGGCATTGTCTGTCTAAAAAAGTAAATCATTATTTTATTGAAAAATGTATTATATCATAAATTTAAACGCGATATTGGAAACACTTTCGTGGTAAACGCCTATTTTTCAAAGCCCGGGTCGAGGGATGGCTCACATTCTCTATCCATTGTCAAATTAATTGAAAAGTCAATTGTGATTTATCACGTGGCTTATATGACAAAATACACCAGCAACATTGTGCATAATGCCTATAACATACACATTGTTTACAATACTAAGATATTACTATTTATTTTTTCGACTTAAAAACATTGCACTGACTCAGAGGCAATTTTAGTAAATGATGCAAATTATTCTGTATTTTCTTTGTTTGCAGACGGGTGTCATTAACATTAAAAACGGTGTGAACAATTAATTCTTTTGCAAATATACAATATTTCTTTCCTAAGTATCTTTAAAATACTATGTTGCGAAGGAAGACGAAGGAATCGAGGAAAGACTCGATTTTATCATCATGACTACAGAGTTGAGGGAACACTTTAATTGCTGAAATGAGCTGGAAAATGTTTGCGTAGAAGCAGTAGTTTTCTTAACGTCCAATGAAAGCTTTCAAGACAAACTTTTCGTGAACAACTTCAAGAAAAACTCCTGACAATTTAAAAAGTACTCTCATTGTATTCGGCAGTAATTTAGGATAAACGTAATTGTATTTTTGGTGGTTATAAAGCCAATAGTTAATACATTTTCAATAATAATACCTTCATTTTTCATAGTTTTCATGCATCTGCACATTAATAGATCAATTTTTGGAGAAATGATTTTACCTGTTTTCTTCAAATCGTAACATATACGCTGAATATTTTGCCTTATCTACGGTTCCTTCCGTATCTTTTATTAGAGTAGCGTATTCCCTATCCACCCGAGGCGTGTATGGATTTAACGCGCGTTTCCACCGGCCGGCAACAGCATCCCTGGGCGATAGCCGCCCCCAAACAGCCCATCCCCCGTCCCCCGCCTCCCGCGCGGAGAGCTTGCAAATCGAAAGCCGCTGCGGCGTTCAGGAGGCTTTGAAAGCGCTCCTCTGCACTCAAAGCCCGCCCGCTTTTAACGAGCGCGTATCGATGTTTGAAGCGCGCCCTTCCGATGGCTCGCCGGAGGGAGGAGGGGGAGGGAGAATGGGGATGAGTAGGGGGGAGGCGGGAGGGGAAGGACGATGAGGAAGAGGAAGAGGGGGTTGAGGGAAGCGTATGAATTTTTCCACAGCCCTTTCATCCTTCGGAGCGCCGCAGGTGGAAAAGTGCCAATTCAGCCGCCGAGCGCTGGCTCTGTTCCTAATCACGGTCCCCCATTCAGTGCCACGGAGTTTGGAGGCGTACCGGCTCTTGCGTTTGGAAACTTCCAAGTTGCTTCAAATGTTTGTTCAAAGTTGGGTGTCAAGTGCGAGGTGAAGTGAGGCATAATGAAAGCGCACGATTTTTGTGGGTTTTTTTCTGTTTGTATTTTTAGAAGCAGGTGCGAATGTTGCAATGGACGTTCTTTCCATGAAGCGACTTTGTCCAGCTGTGTCTAAGAGGCAATTGGGCCTTGTTGATTATCGTGTTCGTCTGTTCACAATTAATGGATTTCCATGTTCAAGCAATAGCAGTTTGTCTTGTAGAATTATACAACAAAGATAAGAAAGTGCGGGTCAATGTCCTCTTTATGCATGTTAAATAACAATGTACGAGTACTAAAGGAGAAGATTTTCCTACTGCGGAAGGAATTAGTCACTGCCAATTTGTTTAAATTCATTTCAGAAACCTTAACATGTATATTTCCTTTTTTCTCATTAACATTGTTTTAATTTGTACGATCATTCATGTTTGTTGTATTTTCTAAGTGGAACATTTTCAACGTTTTAGTATATATTATTGAACATTAAAAAAAATCTTTACGGTCCGTCCAAGATTAAATGTTTCATGACGTTTCAAGCGTATATTCTCAAATTAGTTTAAAAATATAATACGAGAAAACTTGTAACATTTCAATTTCATGTTACCTTATTTGTAAACTAAAAATATTTTTGATTCTCTTTGAGATCACATAAATTATAAATTGTGGATGGGGGTTGACGATTTACGTTTGCATATTTTGTAATTACGTGTTCGCAGGGCGTAATAGCCCCGTCGTGTCGACAACTGAAGCTCTTCTCGCCATTCGATTCTCATTGCTGACCCAGTGATCGCTTTTTTCGATATTTGAATAGCTTTTTCAGATAAAGTCAGTTTCTGGGTAAGGTTTTAGCCATCGATGGTGTACGGCTACCGGTGTGCTTGTCGAATTCTACATAGTAAACAAATTACTGCATAAAAGCCTACCACTCCGCACCAGAAACGGGCGTTTGGTTTGTAACGTACCTTTCACACACCTTGAACTTTAAAGATATCCAGTTCTATTTGTAGAGCAAATCTCAAACTCCTTCGTTTGAAAGTGTAAATTGTAGTAATGCGTGAATATTAAACACTGAAATGAATTGAGAGTATATTGGACGAGTCGTGAGTGTACACGAAGGCAATTCTACTATTATTTTCGGGATGGAATGTATCGTAAGCCAAACGATTCATAGATTATAATAATTTAGTAAAACGTGTTTTCTCGTGGTAGAATCTGATTCACGTCCATTGTTACTCGTTGATATCTTTTTTCCCTATCGTGTTACTGTAGTAAAAGTTGAAACTGACGGTCAAGTTCATATGTTACAGGAAACATAAAAATAAATTATGAAATCGTATAAAATCAAACAATTCAATAATATAGACATTCTAGGTCGCTTTGAAAATATTACTTTCTAAAGTAACTTGATAATACATGATTACTCTTAGGCGATTTGTATCATTTTATTGTTACCAGAGAACACCCGCTAAAGGATATACCAGAGGGGAAAATTTGAATTTTAGTCTCAGTGCGTTACAATATTTACTTATTACAAATTGTTTGCTCGTCATAAGTCGCTTTTATTCGGGTAGTCTTCATTTCTGAAGTAATTTTCTCAGACAACAGTAATTTTACGGACATATGAATTGCATGCTCTCTTGTACGCACCATCTACACACCATGCTCTTCGGATAACTTTAGCCTACAATGAAATAATCTTGATGATTCTAGATGCGTAGTCAATTTTATTAGATCAATAGCTTTAGTTTCTTTTTTCTGTTGGGGCTCTTGAAAATGAATATCTGCATGTCCTCTCTCTAAGATGACTGATACATTTTTACAAGGGGATTTCTTAGATAACCAACTATCTCACTTTTTACATTTACCATCACAAAAACGATCAAGCACGGTTCTACGTTATTTGTCCTGCTCCCTGTCTGGATGAACACTTAAATTGAATGGATGGAAACCAGAACGGTGTAAGTGACATTTTATAAATTATGAGAAATCGGTTCATTTAAGACAATACCACTGTAAAGACGTGGTGCTTTGTTTCATCATTAAAAACACATTTCAATTGTTCATTTAAACCACTAAAATACTTTTCCACTGACATATAGCCTAAAATAAACACGTCTTTTTCAGAATTTATAAAATGCCGCATATACCATTCTGATTTTCACCCATTCAATTGAGAATACAGAAATACGAAAAGAGCGTCAATTGTCCGCTGATTGGAACTCTCATCCTGTGAATAGAGAGACAAATGATGTTACCGCTTACCCGCCAATGAGCCGTATTTCAGAAACAGTCAGCTTGGAGGCGAGTGGCGGAGGCATGGGAGTAGCAGGGAGCCTGTGTCTGGAACACGGCCCTTCGCGCGGCGAGCAGGGCGGCTGGCGGGGCGCCACTGCGCTGTTCGCCGCCGCAATTTGCTCGATTTATCCGCCTTCTGGCACCGGGGCCTCCCAGCGCGCACCAGTGCCCGTAAATCCTTGCTTTGATGCGAAGCCCTCCGCGCCCTCTTTCTTGCGGGCCAGAGCCACCCGCCTTTTAGAGAGCCCGCTTCCCTCTGCGGAAGGGTTTGCTACTCCAGGGGGATATTGCCTATCTGGGATACTGTCTAGTGGACACCTTGGCTTCTCGGATTCTAATTGCATAATTTAGTTTTTTTTCTTTCGGAAATCAATCTGCCAACGGATAATATTTTTGGGTTGTAGACATTTTGTGGAGATGTTAAAGCTAACGAAGTGCTTTTGGAATCCCAATTTTTGGTGAATTGCCTGAACACGAGTTTCTTTTACTGGAGAAATAGTAAGCACACAGAAGTTGATGTGCAGTAAAATTAGTGTCATTTCACAAAATAGAGTTTGTAAACTTGCGCAGCTGTCGGATAGAAATAACACACTATTAAACGTTAGTACTAATTAAAATTGCTAATGGAATCAAAGTAAAATGATGTAAGGACATTCACGACCAGAAAGTACTCGAAAAGTTACACATTCTTATATTATGTTCACTTGCGTTTGATTTTCATCACATTCTTCATTTACATATATTTGTTACAACATACGCTTTGGAAATTAATGCTTGTGGAATAAAAACCTGATCCATGATTTCAAAAGAACAGAAATTATAACTTTGGATATGAACATTAAACCACTCAGTTGAAATACAATTGAAATAACCTATGAAAAGTTGTTTTTATTGTTTTTTTAAATATTTGCTTATTTGAGTAAAATTCTTCTGAAAGGTCCGCCAATGCTTTTGCGAATGCAAATGCTTTGCCATTTCTTGGTGTCTAATTCACTAGCTCACACCACCATTAGAAGTTACTACACTGAACTTTTCTTATCAATATTCTCCTAAGTTAAAGATGCAAAAAAATGTAGTGAAGTTGACTTTATTTCTTCTTCGTATTATTATTATTATTATTATTATTATTATTATTACTATTATTATTACTTATTATTATTATTTATAACTTCAGGGTTATATTGTTATTAATTGAAGATATCTACACTATTATTCGATACCAAGCCGGTTCCGGCCAGAATATGAATGGGTCCTGAAGGCATTTCCTGGATTTTGTACATTTCCTTTAGGTTTTTTGCCCCCATTATGAATCGTGTCCCTTCCTCCCATCGGTAGACTGCCGCACCTGCCTCCCACCTCTGAGCAGGCGGGTCGGGCAGCCGGGGGCTTGGTCGGGGTGGAGAAATAGGAGGCAAGGCGAAAAGATTCGTGGCAGAGTGAGCCCGGCATGAGGAATGTGACTGAAAGGAGATAAAGGTGCCGCACAAGGAGCGCGTACCAGGCCAATATGCCGAGCCAGACGGAAGGTGCTCGGGGTGGAGCAGGATGAAAATAAAATTACTTTCATTTTATTACTCGTATAATTCATACCTTTTCATGTCCAGTATTGTATGTACCCGCCATAAATAAATACTCGAACAATACTTGACGACTTCAGCTAGTATGTTCCAACACGCGCGAGAAATCTATAAAACAACAGATCTTAGAATTTCGGCAACTTCTTGCGACTTATTGAAAATTACTAAAAGTATTTACATTTTTTATCGCTTCCTCTTATTAAGAGATTTTATAAAATGAACACTCATTTTTAATAAAAAATTAAAATTAATAGAATTAACTTTAATCTGCTGTCATTTGTAATTACATCGTTTTCTCGACTGACTGCATTATGTAGATGGAAGATAGTTGTCTTCGCCCTTTTATTGTGAAAATTACTTGTTGATCTGTCCAAGGCAGTCAACTTTTCGTCAGGTTATAGACAGGAAAACGAAGATACAGAGCATTTTGAGTTCCATAATTGAATGTTTTCAAACACCATTCATAATAGTGCCCATTTACAAAAAAGTTATTAGAATTATCCAATCCAATTATCCAATTCAACTATCCAATTATCCAAAAATGATCCTGATGATGAACGTCAATTCCTTACAAATATGACTGTAGCAATTGCCTTTTACTGTAAGTTCTGATGAAATGCGAAGCTCCATTTAAAACTCAAATTGTAAAGTACATAAAATCTGGTGTGCGAATCTCAACGCTGTAGCTTGAAAAGTTTAGGAGATAGAGCCATTTGACATTGACGATTATTTTCAAAGCGTTGAGAATTCGAAAATACATGGCTTTCAATTCATTGTTTGTAGTGGCTACATTTTTCACTGTATGAGACAAATGGTGACATTTTCTGAAACTACATTATTTTAGAAACGCATCGGTTTTCTTAGAAGTGATTTATGTTTCATAGTTTTTGAGATATGCTGGTTTCTATCGGGTGGTAAAAAATGTAAAGCTTCGTCGAGGGCTGAAAGTCTCACACCAGATTTTATGTGCTTTAGTCTTTCAATTGTGTATTAAATATCCTTTATTCAGGACTTACTCTTAATGGCAATAATTTACTCGGATATTTGGGAGTAATTGTCGTTTATAGGAAAGAAATATACAGCGTCTTTTTTCTATTTTTGTCTAGTGTACGTGTTTAAATTTTGTATTGTAACTTTTCTATAGTTATTTTGCGCGGTATTATTGCAGAGGTGTAGATAGTTATTATTTTCTATTTTAAATTTAATTTTTACTACAAATTGTATGATTTTTCAGGTGATTTCTAGTCATACGTTTTCCAGGTTGGTAAATTTCTCTTTCCAGGTGCGCACCGGCTCACTTCCTTCCCAAAGGAGGGCGGCCGGGCAGGGCGGCGCTTCGGAGATCGGCGAAGGAGTGGCGGCGGAGACGGCGTCGCTGATGGGCGCACATGCCAGGGCAGCGGCGCGGCGCTGCGCGACGCGGGCCGGAAACCGTCTACCAGGGGGCGTGTGCGGTGGCAGCAGCTGCGCGGTGGGGGCGGCGCCGGACAGGGGCCGCCGAGCGGCCGTCTGGCTCACACAGCTGCCGCACGTGCAGCCCTGTTACCCCTCCCCTCCCCTCCCCTCGCCACGCCCATCCCAGGAGAGCAGGTGGCGCTGCGGCCCGCGGGCGACGAACCCGGGCCTTTCGCCACGCGCCGCGTCTTACACTCACCCCACTGCGGACTGCAGCTGGGGGCAAATGGCCAAAGGTAGGAACGTTTAAACTGACTGGAATTTGAATGAATTTTGGGGATCGCCGATTGCCTATCTGGAGTCAGAGAAAAATGTAATATTGAAAGGTCTGACACAATATGATGGCTTGTATACCAAACAATAAAATAATGTACGTATCGAATATTAAAAACGCTGATCAATTAATTATTTTCCTATCGTTCTATAGATTGTTATATATATATATATATATATATATATATATATATATATATATATAACAATCTTTTATTATTTCATCAGAGGGTTTAAGAATTACACACATTAGGTAGTCGATGTAAATGTGCTAAAAATCTATTTGCATTTAGGATTTCACAAATGGACCTTTACCTGCAAATTCACAAGATACCAATCCCAACAGGAAAAACATTCGAAGCAAGGTAGGTCTTGAGAAAAAAAACTATTTTGGAGGAAATTAGCATATAGATATTTGTTTTACTATGTCCCTTGTGGGATAAATGTTGCTACGTTGCTTTAAAAATATATTTCGATTACGTAACGATTGCCTCGGAGTATCAATTAATTTATTTTACATTGATTACAAACCGAACCGTGATGTAAAACTTGTAAAACAAAAGACTAATTTAATTTTTGTACACTCATTTCTCAAAGTTATATGGACTTAATATTATCCGTAAAATTGAAATTTCCAGACCAAGGCCTATAAAACGCTTCTACCCTTAGGTGATTAACCATTGTTATCTCCACATGATTATAATTTATGTAATCAAAATTTCAACAATCTTTGAAAATAGTCTTTTTGGAAAAACATCTACATATATCCGTCGTTTTTAAATTAGTGTATAACATATAACACACATTACCCGTACATCGAAAAAGCATGTGCTTCTAGTCGCATAATATTTACTACACGAAATAACTGAGGCAAGAAAACGGAGAAAACCATTTTGTTCACAATTAAGGCGCTTGTAACTACTCAATGGTAAGCCACTCAAGAAAAAAATTGACAAGTCACTGGCTTTGTGTAATAACACACAGTAAAGTTCACAGTATCTTTTAATGTAAATAAATATGCTTCTATATTGGTCACTCGATTAATAGAACTGTTTGTACTTTCAAGCGCATCGCCTGCAAAAGTCACTTAAGTTTGCTATTATCTACTTCCAAGCGCCTCAATTGTTTAAGTAAAACGAAATAGAACCACCGGGCGAAAGGTTTAAATAGAAGGCAGTCATCAGCTGGCGTGCCGGGTTTTGGCGCGCCGCGATCCTATGGGGCCACCCAAAGGACAAAGGGCCTTGTTTGGAGCTCTGACCCTTCGGCGCGTTGGGGCTTATCTCGCACTGCCAGGCGCAGCCCGAGAGCCCCCTATTAGGCCTCCGAATTGCACTTCGTAAATGGGAAGATACTTCCCCTGGCGCGTATGCAACCGAGTATGACGCTGGTGTGTGGTGGGTGGCCGCTTTCCAGAGGACATCGCGTCAGGAGTGCTCTCCAACGACCAAGTGGAAGTAAATTTAAAATGAACATGAAAAGTAATTTAATTCAATAAATATTAGTAATAAAGAGAATTTTTATTATTAATAATGTTAGATATATTATGCTTTAATAATGGTGTTTGTTTTTCTTCAAACTCGAATCATAGCGCGAGTTTCACGCTTAGCCTTTATTTCTTGAACCTGCATTTCCTTTTATTAAATTGAATTGAATTGAATTAATACCTTATTTTACGGGGCGAAACTCGAACCATCAGGCCCGCTCTTCCGTCTGACCACGCCAATTTCGCTGCGCTTCTTTAACCAACTAGCGGAGAAAGGGGGTATTTCTTGGGCGACGAAAAAGACGATTTGAATTTAGCTCAGAGGCGACATTTAGGCTTGAGGGTCTTTTACATGCAAATAAATGTACTAACATGGGTCAGCCGGCTTTACTTCTCTGAAAAGGAAGGCGTGCGAAGGATTTTTTCGCCCTTACAAATTCGAGTTAGAACCCGCCAACTTGGATATAACAGTCCGATACGCTTACCGTTTCACCATCGCCGCTGCAATTATTAGTGCAATAAATAGTGCCTTTATTAGTGCAAAAAATTCATCTTTGATACTAATTATAATTATATTGAAATAATTCTGTAGTAATTGTGTTTGGAACAATAATACTTTCGGGGCTTCTTTCTAAAATACCGTGTTCAGGGAAATTAAATGGCGCAAACTAGTATCGAATCAGACTATTAGTTTCGCAGATAGCCGGAAACTAAAACTGAGCTTCAGCTGTTAAGTACAAAATACCTCACCCCAAGAATTGTCAAATTTGAACAAATTTAAATTTCGGTGCTTCTTTCTGACGTTAGATGTTCAGGGAGAACACTTTGCGAGAAATTGAATGGTGTTGAATGAAATTGAATGAACTATTAGTGTGATTCGAGTATAGTTTTTACCATTCAATTTCTTCTGAAGTTTTCTCCTTCCACACCTAATTTCAGAAAGAAGCGTCGATATTAGAATTTTTCTAAAATTTTCACGTAAAAAGGGGGTATTTTGTACTTCGTTACCTGAGGCTCTGTTTTGTTTTCCGTCTATCTTTGAAACTATTACTCTGATTGGAGTGTAGTTTCCACCATTCCATTTCTCGTAAAGTGGTTTCCCTGAACATGGAATTTCATAAAGAAGCGCCAAAAATTTATTTTATCAAATTGCCCACGTAATAGGGGGTGGTATTTTTTACTTGATCATTTGAGGCATTGTTTTGTTTTCCGTCTTTCTTCGAAACTATTGGTGTAATTGGAGTCTAGTTTCCTCCATTCTATTAGTCGTAAAGTGAACTATCTATACACGAAAATTCAGAAGAAAACGCCGAAATTAATATTTTTCCAAATTTGTCACGTAATATGGGGGGAATTATGTACTTGATTACCTTAAGCTCTCTTATGTTTTCCGTCTATCTCCGAAACTATTAGTCTAAATAGAGTGTTTTTTTTTGTTTTGTTTTGTTTTTGCGCCATTCCATTTCTCGCAAAGTGTTCTCCCTGAACTCCCTGAACACCTAACTTCAGAAAGAAGTACCGAAATTTAAATTTGTTCAAATTTGACAATTTTTGGGGTGGGGTATTTTGTACTTAACAGCTGAGGCTCAGTTTTAGTTTCCGGCTATCTGCGAAACTAATAGTCTGATTCGATACTAGTTTGCGCCATTTAATTTCCCTGAACACGGAAATTTAGAAAGAAGCACCGAAATTATTATTTTTCCAAAACTTGTTATGTAATGGGGGAGTGTATTTTGTTCTGGATCACCTGAGGCTCTGTTTTGTTTTCCGTCTTCCTCCGAAAATAGTAGTCAGATTAAAGTCTAGTTTCAACTATTCAATTCCTCATGGTGTGTTCTCCCTGAACCGGAATTTCAGAAAGAAAAGCTAAAAGTAATATTTTTTTAAAAAATTGCCACGTAATGTTGTTTTTTTTTACTTGATCACCTGTGCTCTCTTTTGTTACCCATCTATCTTCGAAACTATTAGTCTAGTTGGAGTCTAGTTTGCACCATTCAATTGTTCGTAAAGTATCCTTCCTAACACGGAATATTACAAAGAAGCGCCGAAATGAATATTTTTTCATATTTATCACGTAATGGGGGTATTTTGTATTTGATTACCTGAGGATATATTATGTTTACCGTCTATCTCCGAAATTATTAGTCGAATTGGAGCTTAGTTGGCTCCGTTCCATTTATTGTAAAGTGTTCTACCTATACACGGAAGTTCAAAAGATAGCGCTGAACGTACTATTTTCCCAAATTAGTCACGTAATGGGGGTGGTATTTTTAACTCGAACACCTGAGGCTCTGTTTTGTTTTTCGCCTATCTCCGAAACTATTAGTCAGATTAGAGTCTAGTTTCCACCATTCCATTTCTCGTAAACTCGTTCTTGCTGAACATGGAATTTCAGAAAGTAGCGCCGAAATTAATATTTTTTTTTCAAAATTTCACGTAATGGCGGGTATTTTGTACTTGATTACTTGATGCTCTGTTTTCTTTTCCGTATATCTCCGAAAATAGTAGTTTGATTGCAGCTTCTTTTGCACCATTATCGTTCTCGTAAAGTGTTCGCCCTGAACATTGAGTTTCAGAAAGTAGTGCCGAAATTCATATTTTTCTAAATTTGTCACGTAATGCGGGGTTATTTTGTACCCGATCACCTGAGGCTCTGTTTTGTTTCTCATCTATCTCCAAAACTAGTAGTCTGATTGGAGTCTAGTTTGCACCATTCACTTTCTCAATAAGTTTTTCCCTACACACGGAGTTTCAGAAAGAAACCCCGAAATTAATTTTTTTCCAAATTTTTCATGTAATTGAGAGGATGTTTTGTGCTGGGTACCTTAAGGCTGTGTTGTTTATCGTCTATTTCCATAACTATTAGTCTGATTGGAGTCTGGTTTGAACCCTTCAATTTCTCATGAGATGTTCTATCTCTACACGGAATTTTAGAAGCAAGCGCCGAAATTAATATTTTTCCAACATTGTCATGTAACGGAGGGGGGGGTGAATTTTGTAGTTAGTCACCTGAGGCTCCGTTTTCTTTCTCGTCTATCTCCAAAACTATTAGTCTGCTTGGAGTCTGGTTTGCAACATTCAGTTTTTCGTAATGTGTTCAACCTATACACGGACTTTCAGGAGAAAGTGCCGAAATTAATATTTTTCCAATTTCTCACATAATGGGGGGGGGTGATCGGTCAACTGAGGCTTCGTTTTTCTCGTCGTTATCCGTAACTATTAGTCGAATATGAGTCTAGTTACACCATTCAACTTCTCGTAAAATGTTTTACCTATACATGGAATTTCAGAGGGAATTGGGAGTTTTGTGTTCTTCTGAAAATAGACACGAAACAATGCTAAGCCTATCTTCGAAATTTATATTTTTGATTGGAGTTGGGTTTCCTTCATTGAATTTCTCGTATATTGTTTTATTTATCTATGTATTTTCTACAAAAGCGACATAATGTTATTCCATTTTTTCACGCAACGGGGTGGTATTGTGTTTTTCTGAACTTAGGCATAGCTAGTGTCTCCGAAACTAGGTTTTGGTTTGGAGTCCGGTTGTCAGCAGTGAGTATCCCGTGTATTGTTTGAATAACATACGTAATTTCAAAAGGAAGACACGAAATTAATATTTTTTGAATTTTGTCACGCAGTGGAGGGTATTGTGTTCTTCTGAACTAAGGCTTCTTGTTTCGTGTAAACTTGTTTCGTGTTTATCTCCGAAACTAATATTCGGATTGGAGTCCGGTTTGCTTCATAGAATTTCTCGCATATTGTACTATTTATATATGTAATTTTAAATAAGTGATTAAATTAATATTTTTCCAATTTTGTCACGCAAAATTGAGTATTGTCACGGTATTGTGTTCTTCTGAACTCAACCTTAGCTTCTTTTCGTTTCTTCCTTCGAAGCTAATAGTCGGATTTAAGTCCGGTTTGCTCCTTTGAATTTCTCGTATATTGTTCTATTTATATGCGTAATTTTAAAAAGAAGTGAAGACATTAATATTTTCCCAATATTGTCACGAGTTGGTCTGTATTGTTCTGATCGAATCTTAGGCTTAACTTTGCTTCGTGTTAACCTCCAAAACTGTTTGTCGCATTAGATTCCGGATTGCTCCATTAAATTTCTCGTTAATTGTTCTATTTATATGCGTAATTAAAAAAGAAGTGACGAAATTAATAGTTTTCCAATTTTGTCACGCAATGGAGTTTTGTTATCTTCTGAACATATGTTCCATATTGTTACATGTTTTTCGTAAATTGGTCTGCCTCTGCATTGGTTTTCAAAAGGAAGCGACGAAATTAATGTTTTTTACAATTTTTTTTACATATAGGAGGAGGTATTGTTTGTCTTTGATCTTACGCTCAGTATATTTTCGCGTGTATCTCCGAAACTAATAGTCGGATTGGGGTCTGGTTTTCTCTAGTGAATTTCTCGTATATTGTTCCATTTAAATACGTAATTTCAAAATGAAGCGACGAAATAAGTATTTTTCTAATTTTGTGTGAGTGGGTATTGTAGGTTTTTGAATTTACGCTCAGCAATATTTCGCGTCCATCTCCGAAATAATTGTCGGTTATGAGTCGTATTTGCTTCATTCAATTTTTAAAAAAATATTTTTATATATACGTGTAATCAGAATGAAGCGACGAAATAAATATTTTTCCAATTATGTTACGTAATGGGGGAGTATTATTTATTTCTGAACTTAGGTTCCGTGTTGTCTCGCGACTAATTCCGAATATATTTGTTTGATTGGAGTCCGGTGTTCTCTATTCAATTTTTCGTAAATTGGTCTTCCTCTGCATTGGTTTTCAAAAGGAAGCGATGAAATTAATGTTTTTTAATTTTTTTTTACATATAGGAGGGGGTATTTTTTGTCTTTGATCTTACTCTCAGTATAATTTCGCGTCTATCTCCGAAATTAATAGTCGGATTTGAGTCTTGTATGCTCTAATTTAGCGTAAATTGTTCTACCTATATACGTGTTTTCAGAAACACGCGACGTCATATATAGTTTTCTAAATTTGTCCCGCTTTAGGGAGTATTGATTGCTTTTGAACTTCGGCTCTTTATTGTTTCGCGTCTATCTTTGTTATTATTTGTCGGATTGAAGAACGTTTTGCTCCATTGAATTTCTCGTAAACTGTTCTATCTACACGAGTATACTAGTTTCCATCAAGTATGACCTTCAATTATCTATGACCTGACAAATTTTGCTATTTTCGACATGAGCTAACCGCCCCTCCCCCTTGAAACGCCCCCATAACGTGCGCTGACCCCCCCCTAAATAATTACTTATACCTAACGCTTACGACTATTTACAAGAAGTAAAAATACATTATATCACAGTATAACACTTTGTATTAATTTTATTTGTTATACCGCCTCCCGTATTATTTCAGTAGTATGCATATCTTTCGCTGCTCTTACACGCAACCAATCTTCATAAACGAGGTCTCTAAAGAAATAAATTTCACGGAGAGGAGAAATACACTTTGGCTTAAAAAAAAAAAAGGATTTGTTGAAAAGACGCATCTAAATATTCACGTCAAATGCAATCTGCAACACTCGACCTCATTGTCAAAATCTATGTAGTTAAATAACTCCTCAACGAAGAGTTCTACGGCCTTAAAATTGGAATTTTGAGGCCACAGACCTGAATGAAACGTTTCCCATTCCGTAATATACAGAGTGAGATATTATTAGACATTCTATTAAATTTTTGCTGGGTGTTTTTGGCGCTTATCGATACTGCTGAATGTCACCTATATAAGACGCTGGAGGTCAGCTTTGAGACGTCATAGTTAGAAGGCTTAGATTCCTCCATTTTGTTTAGATTTTCTGTGAACACCGTAATTTGCGCAGACTGACGATGCGCAATTGACGATTTGCATAGACTGAGAATTAAGATTGTGTCTTCTTAGGACTGATTTCTGTTTTACCTGTCAATATTTTCGTTTTCAGCAGTGATTCGGTGAAATTTTCACGTCAGCGTGTTCATTCACGATATTGCATTGAGAAATCTGGGAAATAATACTTTCCCTAGAGTGGTTAGTAATTTCAACAAATTAATTTATATCTTAGACAAGTTGAAGCATTTGCCAGGAAACTAGGAAGGCTATTCTCGTAATACATTAAGTGCTGTAAATGCTATTTTGAGCAGGTCAGTAAAAGATCTAGTTTATGTGTTAGCAAATTAAATTTATTATTAAACAGATCTATTTTTTAGTTATTGAACATTAGTGTTAGACATACAGTGCTCATTTGTCTGCTTTCTGCAGTATTTTGTTTTCTATTCCCCCTCATGCATATTATTTTTTTAGGAAATTCGGATATGTTGTCTCCAGTAAGAGCAAGCAGATAAGAATATTCCGAAGTGTGCTAAGGAGAAATCCAACACATAGCAGGAACCAGATTGTTTAGTTTCATGAATGTTAGATGGAATTTATATCAATTCTTTCTAAAACAAAATTGGAAATATAATTGTTACAATATAAGATAGTCCAGAAGCTGCTACTTCACGGTTTATTGTTTATACTATATACATTAATATATTATTTCGGTAGTATAGATAAATTTTGCGGCTCTCACGCAACCAATTTTTATAAATAAGACATCGAAAGAAAGATAATTTCACGGAGACGTTACGAATGTCACTTTTACGTTTACAAATATGGATTGGTTGAAGAAGAAAAAACGCTTCTAAATTTTCACGTCAAATACAATCCGCAACACTAGGCAACATCATTTAAATCTTATTTAGTTAAATAACTCATAAACGAAGTGTTCTAGGGCCTTAAAATCTGATATTTTAATGCATGTGATCTCAAAGACATGTTCCTTGCATCGTAATCTGTAGAACGAGTGCTGCTTGTACATTCTATTACATTTTGCTAGTCCGGCGCATCTCGATACTACCCCGTGTTCAGAGATGTGCACAATATGTAACTGTATGTGAAATTGAGCTAATTACTGATATTCGAGGCAATTGAATTGCACGGGTGTACCTTTTAGTTCGGTAATAAAGTTAAATAATATTCCAAAGAGTGGGGTTGAACTTGCCCGATCCCGTATTTTCGCATGGACAACTTCACGTAGCTTTCTTACAAAAAGCTTTTCTAATATTTTGTGTTGTATTCTGTTTTGTGTTATATTGTGTTTCTAATACATTGTGGCCGCTGGAGCGCTGGGCGCCGACCACTCGCGAGACCTTCGGGCCTCTTTAATTCATGGGGAATTGCCCACACTTCGGGCAATTTTGGCCACTTACTGTGAATTTGCATTGCAAACTCATGTTGATGGTAGTACTAAACAATACTAAAATTATATATCTCTGTGCAGTTTGCTTAAAAGAAATTGTTAAGTAAATACTTCAAATCAACCCTCAAATAGCGGGCGTGAAATTTACCTTGTACGTAAAACAGCAGTAATTCTTTTGGACGTATAAAATAAGATATTCATTCTTAATTATTTCTTATATTTATTGTATTTTCAATTATTTTTAGTCATACAATGCCTTTCTTCTTTTTTAAAGGCAATGGATGAAAATGAATAAACAATTATGCAATGGTGCCATTTTAATGATGGCTCATTACAATAGTATTGATATTTTTATTAAACATTTGTGAGCAATGATTATTACCCCCTGACATGGTAGTATATTTGTGATAACTTTGGGGTAGAATACCAGTGATTTAATTTTTATTTGACATCTAATTAAATAAACTCCTCCAATACCAATACGTATTAAAAATTATTTCAAGGACGTCTGGCACTAAAATATTTGGAATAAAATAAAAGAATATAGTATGTTTTTCTGACAAACATAACACATTTATTATATTTTAATAAATTAATACTTTTTTTTATTAAACATTACATGTCGAAAGGGAAATAAATAAAATTACAATATGTACAATATAACAATTCACATCTTTCATTTGAGTTAGAAATATAACAAATGTTTTAAGGCATACATCACAGGCATATTTAAAATTCCCAAATCAATGCATGAGCAATGAGATGTCTTTTAAATAACTTCAACTGTATAAGTTCAAATTTCCTGCTGTTATCGTGAGGTAACAACGCACAACCTGAGGTCAAGGGAAGTGATGAATTGAATCATGAGAATCAGATAGCATTAAAAATGATCTTGTATCATATAAAGAAACATTCCTATTTACAATATGATTTTCTCAAGAGAATATATCACATTACATAAATATTCCTGTTTAGTTAAAAAAAAGCAAGTCAGGTAACTAAACATTACAATTCAATGGCAACAAATTTCCATTTTCCCTAGTTTTGCTTTGACTGTATTGTAAAAGGGCCATATCTGCATTTTAGTTAAATCCTGCTAATAATAAATAAAGCCCTTCAATTCAACAATCTCCATTTTATTAGAATAGTTACATTCTTTCAACAAAAATAATTGGAATGTAACATTTTTCCTTGCATAATAACTCTACACTTACAAATGCTCCTTACAAGCCTATTTATTATCATATTATTGAGCAGAAAAGAAAAGTACAAATAATCTAGTGTGACACAACAAACATTTCACAGAATGACGATTTCTTTATAGCAGAATACAATATAAATTATGATAAAAATGTAGGACCTCATTGAATGGTGTATCATAATTAGTGTAATGTAATAAATACTATTTGAATTAGTTCATTCTTGAATAAAAATAATTCACAATAATTATTTAAAAAAACTAAAATATATATTAATGGATACCAACTCTACAATTATGAGACCCTGTTCAATTTAATTCTCATAATTCACTGTATTTCTCTTAAACTTTGCATTTCACTGTTCATACACTTTATACATAAAAAAAAAGCCCCTTTCTGTTTAAAAAGTTCTATGAGTGTTTTAGTCTACACATAAGTACATAATACCTACTTTGGAACAGTGTCAAATTCATTTAGACTGAAGTCAGAGCTAGGCAAGTCCTGCTGGAAAATTGTGAAAATTGCAGCTTGTGCTGGGTCCAGCACCTGTAGTGTGGCTGTCTGTGTTTCATCCTCTTCCTGCTCCCCAACTTTCTCATCTTGGAGCATCTGTTCTACTGAGATGAATCCGGCATCCTCCTCTTCACTCTGCCTTGGCCCCCCAGAGATTTCACTAGGATGAAGAACCATTTTGTACTCGCATGTTTTCTTCTTGGAGTTCAGCATTTCAAAATCGTTATGAACTTTCGCCATATGTCTTGCAATCTTAGTGCGGGTCGTAAACCCTTTTTCACAAAGTTTGCACCGGTAAGGATATTCTTTAGTGTGCAAAATGATGTGCTTGTTCAGTGTACTGCTAACACTAAAAGTCTGACTGCAATGGGGACACTGGTAGGGACGTTCACCTGTGTGTGCTCGACGTTTGTGAACAGCCAAAATTGAAGTGTGTTTGAATTTTCTGTCACAGATGTTACACTTGTAAGGTAAGGGATTGTCATGCCATAACCGATGCATGCGGTATGTACTATTTGATGAAAATGTTCGACCACATTTCTCACAAGTATAACGTACTTCTTTCGTGTGAGTTGCTTTGTGCTCTTCAAGAACTACCTCTGAATGTAACCCCTTTCCACAGATTTCACAGTATACAGCATACTTGCCAGTATGTACTGACATATGATACTTCAGACCAGATGGAGTGCGGAAAATCTTAGGGCACTGACCACAAGGAAACATAACTTTGTGTCGTTCATGGCGTCTCTCATGATCCAATAGTTTCAACATATTGGATATTTCTTTACCACAAATTCGACAGTGAGGATCCCTATGCATAACATCCTGATGACGTTTCATTCGAGCTTCAGTTAGAAATACCTTATCACAAGATTCACATTTATACACAAAACGTTCAGGGTGTGTCATTTCATGTGACTTGCATGATTTTCGACTGCCAAAAACTCTATGACAAAAAGAGCACTGATGATTTTCTGGATGCTTTTCCTCCACATGCTGCCGCAAATGCAATTTGTCCGTTAATTCTTCATTACAAAGTGCACAATTAACTGCTCCAGAACATTTTTCATGATTTCTCAAATGACGCTTGAGATTGTGATAAGTTGTAAGGATTTTATGACATATATGGCACTTAAAAACTTTAGATCTTGTTGCAGACTGACCTGTTTCACTATGCATGAACAATTTATGGCTCTTTAAACGTCCCTCAGTCAAGAACATCTTTTGACAAATGTTACACTGTAGAGCTGGATGTGTTAATTCATGTTCTCGGCATGCCCTTTTACTATCAAACCGGCGGTCACAAAAGGAGCACTGATAAGACTCTGGATGCTTAACCTCCATGTGATGTTTCAAATGCAATCGATCTGTTAACACTTCATTACACATGTTGCACTCTACCTCTCCACTTGAACATCGTTCATGGAGACTTATGTGCCGCTTGAGGTTGCTACGAGTGGTGAGAACACGCTCACAAATATGGCACTTGTAAGTCTTCCTCTCTAAAGCAATGTGACACTTGAAATGCCTCTTAATATGTGCTTCAGATGTTGTTTTTAATCCACACAAAGAACACATGTATATCTTTCGGGAAACAGTCTTACTTCCATCACTCTCACTCAAATTGCTCAAGTCTGTTTTGGATGTTTTAAATTCAACATCAATATGTTTCTTTTCTGAATTTGTTGTATTTGGTTTTGTATCTCTATCTGCCTCAATATATCCCGAATCCTCAAAGGTGCAATTGTTGTCTAAAACATTGAGAATATTATAACAATTGGTTTCTTCCTCCTTTTCATGCTTTTTGTCCTCAAAGTTATAATTAACCTGTGATTCAACTATGTAAACAGAAGAATTGTTTTCATTTTTTGCTGACACTCTGTCACTAACTGAGGTAGCCAAAGGCTGAACTAGTGAAACATTTATTTCAGACCCGTCAATAAGATTCTCTTCGTTCATTACTAATGTTGTGTTCTGCTCACAAGTATTAGGTTTATTAACAATATTGTTCTTAACAAAGGGCTCCTGCTGAACTTCTGAATGCATTTGTTCCAACAAAACTTCCACCTGATCTTCCTCAACATTTGACATTTGCTTGTTTACACTCTTAATGTTTTCATTCACTTCATCTTCATCTATTGTCTTTATTATGTTTTCCCCTCCTGCAGCCTCATTACTACTGCCAACTACATCTACAATGGGAGCAACATATGAAAATGATTCATCTCTTACACAATTTTTATTTGAGCTCTGCTTGTGAATCTTTAAATGCTGTTCTAAACTTATCTCGCTTTGAAATAATGCTGTACAGAAGCCACATTTAAATGATTTGTGAAGAAACATATGCTTCTTCAGTGACATTCTATGTTTAAAACTTTTCAAACACTTCTTGCATTGAAATTTTTCATATTTTGAATGTTTACGCATGTGAACATCAAAAACTTTCTTATTATTATGATGATATTTACATATATGGCATTCATACATTTTTTGGGTTGTAGGGTAATAATCAGGATCATTCTCAAGTTCTCTTGTATCTTCACTATACTGCGTTTCTGAAGCTCCATGGACCTGTTTACTGTGACATTCCATTTCCAGTTGAGATTCAAACATTTGACAGCACTCTGGGCATTTGTGCAGATCTTGTTCCGAGTGGCTTTGAAAATGCTCTAGAAGAATATCTAAAACTGGAGTACTAAAAGAACATGCATTACACTCATATATTGTTTCAGCACTTACTGACCCATCAACCATTTCTACATATTCATAAGAATTATCTGCTTCTAACATTTCATACTGCCCTTTGGTTAAGGAATTCTCATATTTTTCATTACATTTATCATGTAATTCTTCACTGTTCACAACTATTATTTTTACATCTGATATACTAGAATTGTCTTCTAATTTCAAATTTTCTGTTTTAATTCCTTGCGAAATGAAGTTATATTTTAAATCATCTGTACTTTCATCTGCAACAAGAGCCTTTGTACCAAAGCACTGGAATTTTTCAGAATCTTCTTCACAGCCATCTCCAAACTGATTCTGAAGATTGAACAGAAAAAAATCAATAATATTTTAAGAATGCTCCTGGCATACATACATCATCGTGGGTTATAGTTCTTTTAACAATAATTCATTCCTAACAATGAAATAAGTTATTGCCTTTAATGTTTAATATTATATCAAATAAAACATTTGGGGGCATTAAATTGGATTGTCATTTTTTAAAGGTTTCAGGGTTGAAGTGATATTCTACTACCAATATAAATATTAATTCAAGATAAATTAGTATGGGTTTCTGCAGTTTTATTCCAGAACATGGAAGAAAGCCAAGTAACTATTATCAATTTAACAATAATATAGTTTTCCAAACAAAAAGTATGTATTTATTCCTACCTCATTACCGCCTCTTGGAGGAATGGTGTCACTTCCTTGTACATTTCTCTGCTCTGTATCACTTTCATCATCCAACTGATATTTAATTTTTAAGAATTCTGTTAATGCTGTTCTTACTTTTGATGAGTCACATTCTAATTTGTCTAGGTAATTGATTAAAGATGTACAGCGTTTACATAACACATCAGTTACAGCGACTATTACCATAAATCCATCACCCATTAGCTGTCCAATTTTTGTTGGAAGATCGGTGTTTGAATAAGGAGTATATGTCATCAACAATGGTACTCCCTTGCCCATAACTGTTTCGTCGCATATAAAACAGATTATTTCTGAAGGCTGGGTAAATGCGAAGTTATCCAGCTTTTCATTTCTACCATAAGCTGGATTTCTCTGCAAACAAACAATATATTAAGCTTAAATTACAAGTCTAATGTTTCAAGTTTAATGTATTAAGATACGTAAGCGCAATTCTTGAGCATTCGACAAATATTATTTTGAAACACAATGTCATTCCCCCAAGTGAGTTCGTATTTTTGGCTGCTTTCCTTAGTTCTCCAGATATATGGAGCTCATACGAATGGAGTACAAATCCCGGTGAGACCAGAGAACATTCACGTTCTTAATTTCTAATCTCATTATACTGAGGTATTTCAATTAATTGCCAATAAAATCGTTTAAAACTTTGCAAATTACCACTTTCGCAGCCTTCAAAGACTTCTTCCTCATTGCGATGTTATATTTCTCTCACGAGTCCAAACTTTACAAATACGAAGCCATATTGGTTAAAATTATTGTACAGAAGCGTAGGAAGGCACTTTTGTAAGTTTTCATCACTGGTCATCGCCAGTGTTACCAACAGCAACGAGACCAAATGCAAACACGTGGCGCCAGCCCACACGCATTCCATTCCCGCAAGGGCGACGCCGACCGCTCGCAGCTGTCAGACGCTGTAAGAAAGGACAAGATGGGAAATCGGGACAAGGCAGAGTCACAAATCACTTTGAAGCGAAATTAATATTAGGGCACAGGCATTAGGGGCAATATCTAAAAGAAAAGATTGTTTGAAGTACATGATTGATCATGTTTTAAATACAGATTTTAGGACACTGTGCAAGGAAGTTTCAAATTTAACTATTTTAAATATTTATTTTGTTCCTGGTCATGACTTAAACAAAAACAAACAATTATAAATAAATATTTCAACAGATGTCTTTTAAAAGCTTTATCACTAATGTCAAAATGGAAACAATTACATAACACACGATCAAGAACAATTTAGTAAGAAAGTACCTCTCAAATCACTGGTACCATAATTCAGGTAATATGTTTGGATTGGGTTCTGCCAATGTTACAGTGGCCACAGCCTGAGATTCATCATCTAATACTATTTCTACAACTCGAGCTGCAACACCACTGTCTACCAACATATCATCTGGAACAACTGCACACGGAATACTTGTGTCCATTTGATCTATGCTGTCACCAGCGGTGGCTGCTGCAACTTCAAGTTTAAAGTTCATTTCACTTTGTTCTGGCTCTTCTGGAAACTTCCACATAGTCAAGTCTTCAGTTTGCTTTGGTTCATCTCTAATAACCATTTTATACTCTCCCTGAGGTTGTTTTGCATTTAGAAGATCGTAGTCCCCATGAATTTTGGCAAGGTGTGTTGCATATTTGTGTCTTGTGGTGAAACCTCTCTTGCAACTCTCACAATTAAACGGATAAACACCAGTATGTAAAATTAAATGCCGTTTAAGTGTACCACCAACAGGAAAGGATAAGGGGCAATGAGGACACTGGTATGGGCGCTCACCAGTATGTTTTCGTTTATGAACAGCCAATAGAGATGAATGTCGGAACATACGATTACAAAAAGAACACTTGTATGGATAGGGATTATCATGCCACTTCCGATGGATCCAGTATGTGCTTTGGAAACTGAACTTTCTCCCACAAACATCACATACATATCGTTCTTCCTTTGTATGCATGCTTCTGTGCTCCACCATCATCATTCGAGACATAAACCCTCGACCACAGTAATCACAGCAATACTTGTATTCACCTGTGTGCACTGCAACATGATGTCTTAGTCCTGTTTTAGTCTTGAACACACGCTTACACACATCACACTCAAAATTATCCTTATCACGCAAGTGTCTTAATTCATGAGTGCGCAATGTCTTTAACTTCATGATTTCCTTCCCACAGTAACGACAATGAGGGTCACGATGTACAGCATCCTTATGGTCTTTGAGCTGCTTCTCTTTCATGAATGTCTGGTTGCACTGGTCACACTTGAATTCATATCGCTCGGGATGAGTTTCTTCATGAGCCTTGAAAGCTTTCCTTGATGTGAATTTTTCATTACAAAATTCACATTTATATACCACTTTTTCTTTCTGATGCTTGTCTTGCATGTGTTGGAAAAGATGAAAATAATCTGGGAATTCAATATAACAAGTTGGACAAGTCATTTTCCCACCAATTGTATTTTCGTGAGCTTTAAGGTGTCTTTTTAAACGTAATTTGGAGAGGAATGATTTGTTACACAGTGAACATTTGTTTCCACTATTCCTATGATCCTTAAAATGCTCCTTCAGACCAGCTATATCTGAATATCGGAAACCACATTCTGCACAAACATATGCTTTCTTAACATCAGAACTTTCATCCACAATTTCACCAACATTTGCATCATCTTGTTCTTCACTTACACTGCTGAAAACATCTAAACCATGAGCAGTTGTATTATTTATTCCCTGAAAACCATCACTCACATCACTAGTATTACCAGCATCAGCACTTTTCTTCTCAATTGACAAAGGATAGATATTTTCGAAAGTGATATTTTTGCTTGAATACTGATCTTCACCTGCCCGAGATTTTACAATGGAATCATTTGACTTTGTCATAACTGATCTTTCTTTTTCATTAACAGTAAATGAATTAACAGTAGCAATGGTCTTTGACTCTACAGGATTCAATGCTGATGTCTCTTGACACTTAAAAACATCAGATGAAACGAATTTTTTAATGTTGGCCTCAGACACACACAGATCCCCTACAGGACACTGATTTTCATTTCCCTGCGAACCATCATTATCAACTTTTAAAAGGTCACTCCCAGTAAATTCACATCTGAAAACATCTTTTCCATTGTCACTTATGCTTGGCACAAAACTCGTCACTGGTTTATTATCAGATGCTTCAGCATGTGAATGCATTTTTTCAAACATATCTTCTATATTACCATCAATTACACTGTCCACATAGTTATGAGAATTCACTAGACTAGATATAATTAAAGAATTGTCTGCATCCATAATGTCATTTTTGCTGCTTGATGGTAACTCAACACCAGGATGAGTCTTCATATGTTGATCGTAAAGATTAGAATTTAGAAAAGTGAGAGAACATATTGCACAAGAAAGAAATTTAATGCCATCCCCTTTCTGACTTTCTTCTTCACTATTGGTTTCTCCCGACTTTTCTAAACTGAGTCTATCTGCATTTTGTAGTATGTTTTCTTTGCTTGCCCACTCCATCATATCATTGGTTAAATTCAGTCCACCACTATGAGACTTCATATGCTCCACTAATCCAGATTCATCACCAAAGGACATTGAACAAATAGTACATTTTGTGATTCTCTCATGAGACTTGCAATGCTCCTGAAGTGCACATTCTTCTCCAAACCGTTTTCCACAGTCTTTACACTTAAAAAGTTTTAACACGACATGCTTACGTATATGATCATCATACTCTAATTTATTATCACATTCATAATCACAGATGTTGCATTCGTAATTGCCTGCAGAATTTTTCAGGTTGCAATTTTCTTCACTTTTATTGCCAATATGCACTCGCATATGAGCTGAAAATTCATCTTCTTCACTGAAACTAGTGTTGCAGAAATGACAAGTCCATTTAGACAAATGGGTCTGCATTATGTGATCTTGTACAGTTTTACTTGAATCAAACTTTTTACCACATATTCTGCACTCGTGGTTATAGTTCATACAAACAGACGGATGTTGTTCAATTTCTCCAAGATCATTTGTTCCATAACCACATTTTTCACACTCATATGCATGGTACTTCACGGTTTCTGGAGATAAACTTGTTAAAATCCTTCTTTGTGAGCAACTGTCATCAAGAATGATTTCCACATTGACTTTCTTGGTGGCACCTTCTTCTTCCCATTCATCACCATCACTTCCATCCTCCTTCAAAGCAAAAAACATTACAAAAATAAGTATTGTGTTAAAGTACTAAGCAGACTTTTGCAAAATTACAAGCACAATTCAAAAACTAAAAATAGAGGACAAAATTAATGATATGCATTAATGAATAACATACAGCTACAGATATGCATTTTTAACTGTAAGATCTGTTAAACTGGCAATTGGATACCTTAGTAAATGAAATATTCACCTTCCCAACACTTTTATAATTTGAAGCACTTGAAGCTGCAGTACCAGAGATATCTGTGAACTAAAAGACATACAAATTTTAAGGAATCTATTGATTGTCCTCTCTTTATTAATGCTACAAATATTCAGACACTTTTTTCCCAAACAAGCACAAAAATACTATTTAACATTAATTTATTCAGTATTACAAAGTATCTTACAATCCTGGTCACAAGATACAATTTTTGAAGAAGTCCCCAATAAGAATCAGAACACTAAATAAAATAAATTCCTGAAAAGTAATATAAATGTGTGTTTTGAAAAAAGATCAAAATATTTTTAGGACATACCAATTATAAAAGTCTGTTTCACGTAATAAACAGTTATTTAGTTATAATATTTTATTCATAACGCAAGATGTAAGTCCAAAAATATACATATTCAAGAATGAATAAAATACCTCAGTTTTAATCTCATCAACAACTTCTATATTTTCACCTGTACACATGACAGGACCTGCAAATAGAAAAATTTCATTTTATTGCAATTACAAGATAATACTTCTGATGGATAATTGCTTTATTTCCATAAATATACACTTCATACCTTCATGGGTAAGCATATCAATATCATCGTCATTTTCATCACAAAGTTGGTATTTTATTTTCAAATAGTTCATGAGAGATGATTTCACCAGTTCCAAATCTGCTTCAAGTTTGTCCAAATGATTAAGTAAGGATGTACATCTTCTACAAAGCATATCTTCTGTGTTAACAACCACCATAAATCCATCACCCATTAATTGGCCTATTTTTGTAGGGAGGCCTGTTTTGGAATGTGCTGTGTAACCAACCAAAAGTGGAATTCCACGTCCAGCTATTTCTTCTCCACATACAAAACAAGGTGGCCCAGAAGGACACATTTTTTGTTTTCCTATTGACCATTTCTGCCCTCTCACCTGAAATATCAATAAGCGTTAAATACAAAATTAAAACTATCATCGAATGTTAATGCGAACGAACATAAGAATAGGGGCACAATTATTTTATTTATCACTTCTGTCATATTATGCTACCATTGCATCAAGTTACGCCAATAGCATTCGAATAGATGAACTGAAATTTACATTATTTTACGTAAGTTCCTCTCGTTTGATGTAGTTATTATGACTGTCATTAGAGAATTTCACACTAAAACTTCTCCTTGTGTATTTGGCTATTCGTATTGGGAGCGAAACTTGGCATGCCTGAGTTCATGAGATGCTTTCACTATTTCATTTCTTAAAATGCACCACATTTGGTCAGAAAAGATCTCACAACAAATACAGACAATGGTGGAAAATATTCACATTTAAATTTAAAACAATGTAAGCGAATGGAATTGTCGAACCTTTCTCGCTTTGTCTGCTCGTCTCCTCATTTTGCACTTTTATAAGCAAATTTTATATGCAATGTCAAAAATGAACTATTAGAACGATTTCTCGACCAACATGGCGGATCACAATTTCGTGATTTGAGCGCGCATAGCAATATAGCCAACTGTGAAGAAGTAAATATTCGTGAGGGGCGTAATTATCGTAATTGTTAAGTGAAACCGGCGAAGAGAGACATTTGGATGTTAGATTATGCGTAGCTGGAAGCTCTACGTAAGAATTATTTCATTTCAGCGAATTAATGGGCAGAAGTTAATAGACTGCCCATAAACTGAGTTGTACAACTTTCAAATGCTGCACATGGTGTTTGTTTACATGCATTCCGAACTGTCAAAATCGAGTGAAGTTTCTGTACATGAAGTACAAGTAGAATTGAACCTGAATTGAACATACAGGAACATGGGAAGGCTGTTGTGATGTTTGCTTACAGATATTTTTAAAATAATTTAGCTGCAATATTTCGTGAACTGTGAAAGCTGTCGGTGTTATTGACTATTTGGTGCAGAAGCGTTACGAAACCCCTCTGAAATTTAATCTTAATGTTTAAATGGACTTATTGGCACAGGCCAAGGTTTTACTCGTTTTCTTTTCTCTACACGGTATGACATTTAAAAGGGTTACAACGTGATCATTATCTTAATTGTTGAAGCGAATCTTCACCATCTTCAATATACTTTAAGTCAGTGTTTATAGACTGGCATGGACCAATGACGTAAAATGTCTGTCTCCACGGCAACTGAAGCCAAAACATAACCTGGATTCTTTGTAGGAATAATTTTGAGAAAATGAGAACTGTACCAACGTGGGTTGATAAAGTACAGGATAGAGATAAAGTAGAGCAATGGTTAGTACCGTATGTTCTCATTGTAGTAAAATTACTTCTATACTCATATTATACTTTTAACTTAGTAACTTGGTTTCAGACTATAGAGTACATAGTAAAATATCTCTTTTTGGATACCTCCTTAATTGGGCTCTTTAATAAGAAAACATAAAATATCATCCTTATATTAAATATTTAAGTATCAACTAAATATTTATTGATTTACGAGTATGTGAAACATTATTCCCTCCATCACTTAATTTTTTTTGTCTGCATGCTAAATGGCTAGCTTGAAAGAAGCTTGAACTTCTAGCTTGAAAGAAGTATTATGAAGTCAATTCTTTTTTAAGCTTTTATTAAAATATTTAACATTTAATTGTACAGCCCAAACTATTTATTAGAAAAACTTCCTCTGTAAGTCACTTTTTGGTATGGGGTAAACTTGTCAGCTATAGTAGTATAGTTCAAAAGGTTTGATTGGACAACTAAAAATTAAATTTTTCATTAGTAAAAGTAAATATGTGGGCTTTTTTTTAATAAGAAATGCAGTTTATCATTTGAGTGAAATATAAATAACTTACTTAGTATTTTCAAACTTACTCTCCATTCATTAATGCTTTATGCTATACAAAAGTTTATCTGTAAGTGTGTTAATCACTTTATTTATGCATTTGTTGGGTATTAAAATTATTTTTCCTTTGAGCGTATTCTCTTTTTAACTAATTTTGAGTGAATTATGGTTTTCCACCATAAAGAGGTTTAACTGTTCACTGCTTTTATTTCTGTTGTCACAATTTTAGCAGTCTTCTTCAGGTATCTTTGCTTTCAGCATATATGATTTGTGCTTCAACCCTGATGGTACACAGCTGGTGGTAGCTGCAGGACAAAGGGTGCTTGTGTATGATACCATTGACGGAGCACTTATCCAACCTTTGAAAGGTATTTTATTTGATGTGCAGATTACATTTTATTACTACTGGCATGTAAACAGTTCATTAGAAATATTTATTTACTTATTGGAAAGCTTTAACTCTGAAAGAGATTTTTGATATACTCAGAAACATCCAACCAAGCCCATTTCAAATGTATTCAAAAGTTTCTGTTAAAGGATCAAGTCAAATTATTTTTCTTCAAGTCATGCTTATCCATAATCAGGTCAATAGCCAGAGGATATTACATTAAGTCCATTGTAAAAGTCGTTCTGTTAGCTCTAATTAAACGTGTATTTTGTAGATACTATGTAATTGATGATTACAATGAAAAAAGCTTCTTTACAAAATTTTTTTGAACACTACACTCGGCAAAAGAATAAAACCCTTGCCAAATGTCCTTTTGTATTTCCAAAGAATGAAATGTGTAGCTCTCTCTTGTAGTTCAGACTAAGATAATTGAAAAAATGACAGACGTCATTTGCGATAATTTTACTTGTAATATACTTCTAGAAGTAAGGACTAGAGTTAAAGACAATTGAGAAAATATAGTTTTTGCTTGCATATGGTCAACTAAAAGAATCTTTATTTTCTATGATAATTTCTGAAAATTTTAAAGCCTTTACAGAATTGACATTAAAAATACTTGATGACATAGAAATTGACAAATATGTGAGTTTAGGAAACGTATTAACAGAAAAGAGAAACGTTGCATCGGTTTTGGATTCACATATTTGGTGTTGTGTTTATTTTCAGTTATTTATGTAGAAAGAAAAAACACTAGATTCAAAAAAATTTCATTTTTGGTTAGGACTTGTGTTAACTAAAAAGTGTTTGCTTATTTAAATGAAGAAGAAAGCAGCACAACTAATTCCAAGAAATGTGCATACATCAGTAATCAAAATATATAAGAATCAGTAAAAATTGTGCAACGTACCATTTCATACATTTTAATGTCAAGTTCAATATTCAGATATATGATGGAGAGTACAAGCAAACACACTAAACACTGATGTGTATTCCTCTTGTTATTTACAAAAAGATATTCGGTTTCTTGTTTGTCCTGAAACACTGTTTTCTTCAGACATTTTTCATATTTTTTATTCGTTGAGAAAAAAACGGACTTTCTCTTAAACAAAACATAATAATATAGTATGTGATCGTACCTGACTAGAAAGAAATCCAGATGCTCTGATGTATCGCCAACTAACAGATTAGGTGATATAAGATTTATACAGTGGTTGGTCACCTATACAAGATTTACCAAAAAATATGCATATTTCTTTGAAGAATAAAATATTAACATAACATTTTTTAATTTGTTACGGGCCGCATAAAACAAGGTCGCAGGCCTTTTGGTCATATCTGCTGTAGTGCATTACAGTATTTTTATGATCAGTTTAACCAATATTTTTATCACCAAACAATGTGAATCAAAAATAATAAAGTTAGAAAACATTGGTACGTCTTTTATAATAATTGTTTGTGAGGTTGCAATAACTAAGAATTTATTATTATTTACAAATATCATATGGAGATGAATTATTGAAGAAGAGCATTTTTAAAGTAAAATTAAATTTAAAAAATAACATAGACCTGGTAGAATAATTTTCTTCATATGTTAAGAAGAGTAAGACATTGTGGATGAATCAATTTCTTTTTAAAAATAAATTTATGTTGGATAAAGCATGTGATGTGAAAAAAATCTTGAATTCTGAAAACTTGTCATTGGTCGTAAGGAACATTTTAATTCCTTCAATCACTGTTGGAATTAACATTGGAGTAATTGTTGTTTCAGTTAAAAAGACAATTTGTTCATGATTTAGAAATGACACGTTAAAGGTAATCTTATTGTCACTTACCTTCTGGTGGATCTGCAATCACAGAGATAAGATTTGCAATTTATAAATAAAATAATAGAAGGTGTGAGAGTATGTCTTTATTTCAAAGATCATAAAAACATGGGTAGATGTGTTAATTGCAAAAAAAAAAATATGTGAAGGGGGAGTGTCAAGACAGAAACAATCCAAAAAATACTATTTTGTGAAGGTCAATTATTTTTTTTATTTTAGTATGATAATTAATAAAAAAAAATGTTATGGTACTTATTAATTTTTCTAATGAAATGGTGTACGTAATTACGTTAAGGTTACTGTGTTGCTATACAAGCCTCGTGACATTTGATTTGAGTAAAAATAATGTTAATGTATGTTTTTCAGGCCATAAGGATGTAGTTTACTGTGTGTGTTACGCTCGAGATGGTAAACGGTTTGCGTCAGGAAGTGCTGATAAATCTGTTATTATTTGGACATCAAAACTTGAAGGTGTTTTGAAATACACGTAAGTTTTGTGATTCATCCAAACTAGCAATATCACAATATGCAGAATGAAAAAAGGGGTATGAAAAATTGAAAGGAAAATCAAGATGGGCTAATATGTATAAATTTGCATGAAATTTTTTTATTTGGTTACTGTTTTATTTGACTTGCATAAATGGTGTTTTCAGATGATTTTCAGTCATGGACAACTATTTTTTTCTTTTCTAGTAATTTCTTTCTTAATAAATATGGACACACTATATTGAATTCTGTGCCAACTATCCTTTTGACTTTGACTTGTAAATGCAGCTTTCAGCTCCCAATTAGCTCTGAAAATTTTGTTTTGTTCTTTATAAAAATAATAGGTATATTTTTTAGGAATTGCTTAATATTTTCATATGTAGATAGTTTTGAAAACAAACAACTAGTTTGGATTGTATGTGCTTTTAAATTAATAGTAGAAAAACAGAATGCCATGTTACAATACTATGAATTAACTGTTCTTCCATATCAATTGACTTTCTTTGTGGGGCTTGTCATCTTGTGATTCAGCTACTTGCTCTATTGTATTGTTGAAGTATCCCTTGGTTTTCAATTAAACATGTATTTTCCAATAACTATTCATTCAACTATTCATTCCTTAAAATAATTGTAGAACAATGTTTCACAGACTGTTATGCACATTTCATCGGGTGTAATGTTAAAGACCAGACTACTTGTTTTGTGGTCTACTGCAAGTGTGATATTGCTTACTGTTTACAGTCACAATGATGCCATCCAGTGTTTGGCATACAATCCTGTGTCCCACCATCTTGCTAGTTGTGCTCTTAGTGACTTTGCATATTGGTCAGCTGAACAGAAGGCTGTGCAGAAATACAAGAGCAATTCACGCATCAATGCCTGTGCCTGGACAAATGATGGACAGTACTTGGCTTTGGGGTTAGGCAATGGAGTGGTGTCTATCAGAAATAAGGTATATGTGTATAATGTATATATTGAAGCAAAGGATGCATATTAGGTCTTCAGGTATGCTTAAAAGCCATTCTGGAGGAAAGAATTCCCAAAACATATTTGAGGCACAATGTTCATGCTGTGCCGTGCTCTTCTTGTTTAAACTAAAAATTTGCATTAACTACAATGCCTAAAGAAAGCCACCTTTATGATTTTGCAAGTTTGTTTTGGGGATTCATAATTCCAGAATGTTGTTTTCGATATGTATATATCTGCCAATGAAATGTATTTATTGAGCACTTAGACCTCTTGTACACTGAGTTAAACTATTTAGGCCAAGGGTCTCTAAACTTTCTTCGACAGAGGCCTTGAAAGCCAAATATTAAATTTTGTGTTAGGTTGGAATTAATCACCTATTTGTTAAATTAAATTTTAATTAAAGAACAACTAAACAGTTATCAATTCATAAATTACTTCTTAAAATACATTCAGGAGCACACAATTCTGGACTTACTATTTGTAATGTTTAATACACATTAAGGGCTACAATGTTAAATTTACATATTCACATATTTTGTAAAGCACTGAAATTAAAAATAAATTTTAAGGTATATCAGCATATTACAGTAAGAGCAATAAAATTGTTTTTTAGACTAACAATAAGTTAATTTGTAGCTGAACAGTAGTTTGTGTTTAACATAAAATTAAAATGACTCGCAAATGTTCATCAATTAAGTTACATCTGTACTTGGACTTCACCCACTTCATTTTCGAGAGTGTTCAGACCTACAACTTGTTCCAAATAATGACAAACCTCTGGAAAAGTTTTTAATTTTTGGATAAAGGTCCATTGAGACCTGCTATTGTTTAACATTCATAAGGATCTATTGGTTGCCACTATTATTTAACATATATGAATCATATAATCAAAATATTGAAGGAGACATCAATATGAGACATGACAAGAAAATAAAAACCATATTATACATAGATGACCAGGTAATCCTGGCAAAATCAGAGGATGACTTACAAAAAGCAACACATAGATTAAACATGATCATAAAAGAATACAAAATGAGGATATCAACCACAAAAACTCAAGCAATGGGAATCCAGTAGAATAAAAATAGTAATAGATAATTAAATTATAGAACAAGTAGAAACTTTCACATACCTGGGAAACAAAATTCCCTTACAAGAGGAACACATAGAAACAAAATGGGCAAAACACAACATAATTAATGGAAGCATCAAAAGACATTTTCAAAAAATTAATGCAGAAACAAAAATTAGACTGCATAACATTGTATCCAAACCAACCCTATTACATGGTTGTGATGCTTAGCAAAGGATTGAAGTCGCCCAAATGAGATATTTAAGAGCAGTATTAAAGATCTCAAGGAAGGATAGAGTAAGAAATGAACACATAAGCAAAAGACTTAAAATAAAGAACATTATCCAGGAAACACGAAAATAATGAAACCCAACAGATACCCAAAAATGGCAATGAGATACTAGGCACAGGGGAGAAGAGAACCAGGGAAACTCAAGAAGAGGTGGATGGACCTGGAACACCTCAATAACCATTGAGAAAATACTATAAAGAAGGAACAGGCCAAGCAGCCTAAACCTCAAAAGTTCATGATGATGAAGTCCATAGAGAGTTGTTTGTAAAATTCAATCAAATTTTTTTCTTGGAATTTGTCCTGCATTGCATCATCTGCTTTGAGGTCTATTATTTCTATTTATATAGTTATTGGGACTTATTCAGTATTACATGAAAAAGGGGTTCTGAAAAACCTGTATGTTTCTGGAATTAATATTCAAGACAGTGAATCTATTTTTGAACTGCATTTTGTGTTCTGAAAGTATTTCCAAACAAAATGGAAGTAGGAACTGAGAAATATTTTCAACACTTCGTAACTTACAAGTAGGGTAGAGAGAAAATGATTTTGTAGCAATCCAGAAATAATTTCTGCCTACATGCCTTGATATGAGTGTATAGGTCTCATATAAGGTTATTTTCACCTTGCATTTTTTTATTAAATTCATTTAGATAAAGAGCAATATCTGAAATGAAGATAAGTTTCCATTCTTTGTCAGATAGCACTTCATTTGGTTGTCTCCTCTCTGCCAAGAGTATTTCAATTTCTGTATGCAAAGAAAAGAAACTACCCAGATCTTTGCAAACATTCAGCCACCTTACAGCAGTATACAGCACATACAGAGCAGTATGATAGGTAAGATCAGGTTTCAATGACGGTTTTCTGTAGAAAAGATTGGAAATGATGGTGTAGTCCATATGGGGGGATAAAATTGACAGTAAAAATCGCTGGTGTTATTATAGAACAATCATTCCATTTGTTACAGATGTTACATTTTGACATCCTTTTATTCTTATATCTTTCAAGGAGAATTTAGTTTTTAAACACAATGTATTGGGATAATATAGAAATGACTTAATTTCAGCATATTTTCTTTTATTAATTTCAAAGATATTAAAGTATGTTTTACGGATGTTACAAAGTCTTAAAAGGGCTGTTGAGTTATTTAAGCAAAATTCAGATCCCCATACTCCATCAAATTAAATAAACATTTTTTAAATTTTTTGGGCATGTTTCAAGGAGTTGGTGTTCACCTATTATTTAGCAGATAATAATGAAATTGATTTTTTAAGAAAGATTTATGTTACAGACGTTACACCCTAAATTGTTACAGATATTACACATGACAACTCAAAGCAACATATCACAAAAATTTCTCTTAATAACATCAAATTACATTAATTATACATAAATACTGTAATTTTATATTGTTTTCTTAGGAAAAACATATATTTTCTTGCCTTCTGAGTTATTAGTAAAACTTGCCAAAAAATATTTCTCATAAAATCTCTCAAAATTATGAAAGTTTCTACTTGGAGATATTTATTTCACTGAATCCTGTCTCATAATTAGAAAAAATCTAGCACTTTCAACTTCACATTTTGGCAATTTATTGTCGTAATAACACGTTTCGCATTTATTTATCACGCGAGGCTCACTTTTGATACTATAGCACATCATTGTGCGAATTGATTTTTTTGTTAATGAAAATTCACAAATGTGGAAAAAGCTTAATTCGGGGTATTGGTGAGTCTTCAGCACGGTCAGGGCGCAACAAGTGAGGAGAAATTTTACTTTTATGTTTTTCCACATAAAATGAGTGAACTTCTGAGATAGTCAAAAGGGGTTTTGCATTTGAACTTTTTTTAAATACAAATCAACTGTTCTGTTGAATGACTCACAAGCTGACGAACTGCTTTTTTTTCTTTCAAGGGCTATTTGGAAGGTTTTCTCTTGCTTTACATACTGCTTTGCTTTGAATGCTTGTTGATGAATATAAACCTATTATTTACCAGATGTTTTTGTTTTGTTTTGTCAATTCTTTTCCAGAGAATTCTTTTAACACAAATTCTTATTCTTATTTCTCTTTTCTGGTTTAGCATGTTTGCATGTTTTGAAAATTTTTTCTCCTCTTGCATATTCAATAAATTTTTATTTCTATTTTGTCTCAAAAGATTCCTTCCATTTTTATGGATTTTCGTTTTTCAACTTTTACCTGTATTTAGCTACTCTTGCTACTGAAGATGTACATGCTATTTCTCTGTAAACAAAAATGAATGATATAATTTCCATTACTTTTCTCAATGGCAAATAATATGAATTAGAAAAGCATGACTGAATAAAATTAAATGATTTGAGATACACGCTAAAAGAAATTTTAGTCTTTAGGAAAAAATGAGTAATTAATAGTATAATCAATAATGGATAGTGGATAATTAACATTATTAATAAATAAATAAATGTAATTGATACAGATTAATAGACTATGAAATCATTATACAATATATCCTCAAAACATATTAATCTTAACAAAATAATCCCAGTATATTTTTGTATCAGTAATAATCCCAGTACAATTATTTTTTTTAATTGAATGAAATGTAAGTAACATCCATAACACTAATATTTAAAAACTCTTATTCAAAATAAATATTAAATATAGGAGCCTTGTCACCAGAATGTCAACTTACAGAACGTTATAAAACAAGCGCACTTTTACATTATGTAAGAAAAAAACTTATCAACAATTTTTGTTACAGATGTTTCAATGTGTGTTAAAACTCTATAAATTTAATTTTATAAAAATTTGTTACTTACCAAATTTTTTTGAAATTAAAGAAAACCAAAGTCAATGTATTAATCTACCATCTCAATCCTGTTTTGGAGCAGAAAACATTTGAATTGCTACGATAAGGATGTAAGAACATTAAATGCATTTTAGATGAAATATTGATTGGCTAAAATACTTGATTTCAATCATTGAAAAAGTACTTAAAAACTGCATATTGTCACATTTTCTTTTATAAACCATAAAATTTGAACATTAGAGAGGATATATACCTCAAATTGATGCAAAGCAATTGATGCAATTGATGCTTATTTACAAATTTAATTTTTTACACATTTCCCTGTTTTATATGAAATGGCTGAGAAGATATTTTTATCGATACTCCACAAAGTTCATGTTGATGAAAAACAATGTATTGCCATGGGTTAATTATGAATTCCTTTGGCTTCACACTCTGCATTAATTTGTTCAAGAACACCAGTTTTTGTGCCACACATATTCCTTCCAGCATCTATCATAACACATTTCAGTTGGATCAAATTGAGTAATTGAAAAACATTCAAACTTTGATGCCATATCAATAAGTTGAGAGGAAATCTACTCGGCATGCAACTGTGCTGGATGAAAGGCTAACATCTTTGCATTGGCTTTCTAGAAACAACTCTTCAGCAATTATTACTACACACTTTTTAACGAATCTTTCTTTATGTAAGACGGACAATGGTGCAATACGTGTGACATGGCTGGTTGGTGAACCAAAGGATATGTAATAATAGGAACCAGATTCTTATATCTTGCAATAAAATGTTTGACTGTGTCATGATTAAACTGAATTAGATTATACTTAGGGTTGACAGGCCACAGAGAATACAGCCTAGGGCCAGATGTGACCTGTCATAGTTTGCAGACCCCTGGATTAGACCATCCGTGATTTGTAGTGTTTCAGTTGAACTGATCTCTCAGATTGATCAAGTTTGATAAGGAATGAGCATTCAAACCATTTGACTGGTAACTCAAGTGACCCTGTGCAACCGACCTTAATTGTCCAAAATTTCTTTTTGTGTTGTGAATAATTGGTCTTGAAGGCATATTGGTATTGATATTCTTGAACATATTTTAAATCTAAGAATTCATTTGTTTGTTGAAAAAGTGTTTGGTTTTTATATTTTAATTCAAAATAATTTCAATAATTGTACTTAGAATTTTCATTTGAGAAACCACATAAGAAGACCCAATAATGCCTGTGAATTTTTCAAGTTAATTTAGATATAACAATTGTTGGTATTAGTAAATAGAAATAGAAATACAATTAAAATGAATGAAAAATTAATATTGATGATATTGATAATACTGATGATAAAATGTAAGCTTGGAATATTTTGGCTTTTATTAATTTATGTTATGTAGTTGTTTGCATGTTGTAGTAAGTCATAAGTAAAAGAAGATATTAAAACTGTATCTGTATTTTGTTGTTTTTCTAGAATGGAGAAGAGAAGGGAAAAATTGAACGACCTGGGGGTTCTCAGTCACCTATATGGGCTTTAGCATGGAGCCCTTCAAAGTGCGTTTTCATATTTTTATTATAATCTTTGCTGTTTTAACATGATTTTATTGCTTTGATATTCCTTGTAAATTATTTGATTTTTATTAAATGTGTTGTGTATATGTTTTACAGAGAAGATAATTATGATATTTTGTGTGTTGGAGATTGGGGACAAACCTTATCATTTTATACAATGGGTGGAAAACTGGTAAGTTTTGTAAGTGTGTTAAAACTGTTAAGTTTTTAATGTGTGTGAATTGAAAGGCTGTAATGTTAATGGTTACTGCCATTCATTATGATGTTTAAGTATTAAAATTTAAAAATTCAATTTGCCTGAATTATTCTTTTGTATTCATTATTTATCAATATAGCAGGGCAATAGGTCTGTGCTACACATGTGTTTTTTCTGTGTAGGTTGGTAAGGAGAGACCACTAGGGTATGATCCACTTTGTGTGAACTACTTTAATAAAGGAGAGTATTTACTCATTGGTGGATCAAACAAAGCTTGCACTTTGATGACTAGAGATGGCATCAAACTGGGCACTGTGGGTGAAGAACAGTCTTCATGGGTATGGTGCTGTGCTGTCCGACCAGATTCTTCCTTTGTGGTTAGTCCACTCAAAATGATTTGACTACTAAAAGTTTGTGTTTTAGTTTTCATGTTTTCTCTTTCTAAGAATTTGTGAAAGTAAGATTGTTACTAAAAAGATCAGTTGTGATAAACAGATCTGGGGTTTGTACGAAATAAGAAGTAAGTACATACATTTGGTCTAATAATGTCCAAAATATGAGTAAAATGTATGACTAAAAATGGATTATGATGCACAAATTAAATGTGTAAGGGCACCCTGAATGGGTAATGTTGATTTTATGTTTTTGGCAAAATAATTTTCTTCACATTTTTCTCATTAAAATGGTATGTTTTTTGTCATAACCTGACAATCCTATTTTAAAATTCCAAACATATACAATGAAGCATAAAGGGGGTGTGGGCCTCTCATTCACTCATTTCAGGTTTTAGTTTTGTACTTGTTGCTTAAATACAATGTATGTGTTATTTGTGGATCATGTAGGTGTTCATAAGTTGGTGACAATTCAGGCAACAGTTGCTTTGCGCCATTGAAAGCAGCATCATTGTTTTGAGAGTTTTGTCCTTGATTTTCAACTTAAATCATGAATATTTATTTACTTTAATTTGAGCTTGAATGCCAAAAATTTATTGGAAGTTAAGAAACATTCACTTGGGCATGTATAACATTTTGGATATGAGTATATGAAAAAACAAGGAGCATTTCAAATATTAAGTGTATGCAGATCTAGGTTTACACACAATGTAAGTGATGAAAAAAAATGGTCAAAGGGAGATGAAGAAAGGCAGAAGCTTCAGAAAATCTTCTAAATATGCATATCACATAAGAAAATAACTAGTCAGAAAAAAAAAATATCAGTTTGCAATGGGAGAAGACCCTGTCAGTTGAATGTACAGTTTAGAAAAGCAATAAAAACTATGAACTTCATTTCCTGTTAATTGAAATTTTTTATATAAAAAACATTTTTTTTATTTTTTGGTCCCATCCCCAAAAACTTTGACTTATACTACATCTAAATACTGTCTTTTATGGGATTTTTTTTGAAAAAATATTTTTTAAAAAAATTACTGTCAAAATATTGCAATTTTGGGGGGGGGGGACAATTTCAGTAATTTAAAAAAAAATAGAAATTTTGCAAAATTTTGTAATTAATTGTGCAACATAAGATAATAAATTTAAGGGGGGGAAATGAAAGAGATAGCGAATAGTTTCAGGCACAATATTCCTCAAAGAATCTTCTATAGGAGAGGTAGTTTGCAGAGATGCTTAAGTGCACCTCTTCCAGGTGCACTATTAATTATATATCTAGTTATATTATCATAGCTATAGAACAAGATTTAATAATGTACTAAAATAGAATGAACATTATTGTGCCTAAAATTAAGTTCCTTTATTCTTTTGTTGTAATTGGCCATTTGGAAAGAAGTGGAACATAGTACTGTTTTAAATATTCAAATATAAATATTCAAAAAACTTCCATTGAATTTTTTAGCATCAGAAGTAATAGTCTTTAATTTGCGTTAGTTAAGCAATAGTCTTGAACTTCGCATATTTATTGTGGGGTTAAATGCAGATTTACTTCTAAATTTGATTCACCACATTCAATTGTACTAAAAGTTAAAAATAATCTTCCAAAAATAATTTTGAAGATATGGAACATTTTGCTAATAAAATATTGGGATATGCAAAGATATTCTAATATTCCTAAAATTAATGAAAATGTGAACTATCCCTTCAAATACGGACTAATATGGATAATCAAATGTTTCAAATCACTTCAGAAAATCTAATTTAAACATAACTCAAACATTTGATTGTAACCAATGAAAAAACAAATATGTTATGATGTTCGAATTCTAGCCATGGTGATAACAGCATGCAATTATACGTGATGTAATCTGAAATAATTGATGCTCTATCAGCATCACAGACTTATAGTTTATTAATATAAAAGTTCATAAAATGGAAATGTTTTCCTTACTTCAATGCATCAATGACCCTTTTCCCATTTGTCACCACTACACAAAATGAATAACAACTTAGGTGCAGTTTTAAAGCCTTCTCTCTAATTTGTTTTCTTAATATGTATAACATTCTCTTCAATCTCTTACTCAATGTAGGCAGTTGGATGTCAAGATGGGACAATAGCATACTACCAGCTGGTATTCAGCACTGTTCATGGACTTTACAGAGAGCGTTATGCATTCCGGTAAGTTTTGTGTGATTTTAAATTACTTTTGAGGTAAAATATGCTTGTTGCATGTTGAATTTTGGGATGATGGAAATGGTAGAATAAATATTTGTAGTATAGAAAAATAATTGAAGTTTTTTCTCTACCAGAGAAAACATGACTGATGTCATCATTCAACACCTATTGACTGACCAGAAAGTACGAATTAAGTGCCGGGATCTTATTAAGAAAATTGCTATTTATAAACACAGATTAGCAGTATGTTTTAGTTATTATTTCTGATTTTTTCTTTTAATTCCTTCATCTGTGTTTTATTTATTTATTAATTATAAATTTTCATGGCAGGTTCAGCTTCCAGAACGTGCTGTTATTTATGAATTGTATTCAGGTGATTCAACGAGCATGCACTATCGTGTTCGAGATAAAATAAATCAGAAATTAGATTGCAATCTTTTGGTGATATGTACAAACCATTTAGTTTTGTGTCAAGAAAAGCGTCTTCAGTCATTAACATTTGCTGGTGTGAAGGAAAGAGAATGGCTTATGGAATCTCCTATTCGTTACATAAAAGTAAGTTCCATCATTGCAAATATTTAGTTGCATTGTCATAAAAATTCATTGACTTATCTCTCAAATCTGCCATTGGAAACTTGTAGTGCATCTATTCCTAAAAAGAGTGCTAATGAGATAAATTATAAGAATTTCTTCTCTGGGTTGAAGTGGATTTCTTAAATTACTTCCTCGTGTGACATTATTTCGATTCTTATCTTTGCTGAGCCACAAATATGCTCTGTGGGCAGTGGCTAGCATGTTGGGCAATTGTACAAATAATTGTCACAATGTGATCATTTGTTACAATATGCTGGGCCATAGTGTATTAGATACAGCAGCATGACTCAAAACACAAAGTAACTTTTTCCATGTTCTTGACCCAAGTGACAATGGATCACTGGTAGATACAGGGGGGGACATAACTATTAATCACTCTACTGTTTCTACTCCACGGACTCTGCTGGTGTTCTAAAAATCTTTACACATGTGGAAAATAGTTAAGATCAACATATTGAAAGCTCAAAGAGGTTGTCCACTGCTCAGATAGTTGGATAATAGGCAACGCCACAAAAATTTCCAACTGGCCATTTATGAAAGTAAATACACAATAACAACTACTACCAGTCGTGACTCAGAACAGTTTTGCTGGTTAGATTATGAGGTTTTTTTTGCTTCCAAATCCTCACAATATCCTCCAAGTATTGAAATGTCCACCCAAAAACCAATGCAAACAGGCTAGTAAGTGTCATGTAAAATTAAATGGTCATGTCAAGTCCAGCTTGAATGCTTTACTTGATTTCTAAATATCATAATGTATCACATGATTTTCAGGTCTTCAAAAATTCAAAATCCGTTAAAAAAGTTGCAACAAAAGCAGAAATAATAAAAAAAGGATCGGAATATTTTAAATACTAATAACAAAACTAAAGCAAGATGGAATATTGTACAATACATGACCAGGTCATATTGAAACTTTATATAGAACGCTGTTTCAAAGGTTAATGCCAGAGAGAGGAATGATCCACAGAAGTAGCCAGGCTCTTTGAACGGCTTTCTTGTTGTTACAGTTGTTAATTTCATGAAGGGTGCAAGTCACTAAATTCGACATCTGATATTTCTTAAAAAAATGTTTGACTAAAGGGAGACTTTTTTTAGCAGTTAGGGAGACTTTTCTGTATATAAGTGGGAACTTTTATCAGAAAAAAGCAAGAGTTTTCAGACTTTAAATATGGATTTAGAAAATAAAAATCGTTGTTTTCTTTGCACTACTGTACAATTGGATCTGTAGTTTTTTTGCTGATGCGAATAAGTTTTCTATTACTCAAGAGTATCTATTTCTACTTTTCAAATCTTGCTAACCAGTCTTTTTGGTACCTTTATTCATTATTCAACTTTAAAATTCTTACCCAATCCTTTTTCTATATAGAGTACAAGAAAACATACACTGCTTCCTTCAAAAGTCAACTACAGTTTTTATTGTATTCACAATAAATAAACCAAACCAAATCTGTTGCAGGTGGTTGGAGGTCCTCCTGGCCGTGAGGGATTGCTTCTAGGTTTGAAAAATGGTCAGGTGTGGAAAATATATTTGGACAATGCTTTCCCAGTAAATCTGTTGAAACTTCAGTCGGCAATTCGATGTTTGGATCTCAGTGCCTCAAGACAAAAATTAGCTGTTGTTGACGAAAACAATCAGTTGCTTGTATATAACTTGCGAACTCAGGAACTCCTCTTCCAGGTATGTTTTGAGTTGATGATAATGTTATTTTCAAATAAAATATAGTAATCATGTTAAGCTTGATCACGTATTAGAAAATACATTTTTAACAGTTTTTTTATATTTTTTTACCGATTTTGTTTTTTAAAGAAAATTATGAAAAAACACTAGTATTTTGAGCTCTTGTATGTTTGATGTCTTTGATAAGAGTAATTTGCATTATCTCTTATTATATTAGATCCACTAAATTAATTATTACACCCAAGAAAGTTTCCTTAATAGCTTAATAAGATTAAACTGGTATTTCATGAAACTGAATAAGCATTATTCAAATCTAATATGTACCAACAACTGTAAAGAAATTCTATTTGAAACATCTATATTATAAAATAAATTTTAGGAGCTAATAGAAAGACTATAAAATGGGATCTCCTGAAAAAACTAATGAATACCTTGGATGCAATATGTATCTTTTAAGCACCCCATGAAATGAAACCCATCTTCTATCTTGTCTGGCTCTACGGCACTTGGTGTCCAATGACTCTCTCTGTAAGGAACAAAGTTGTCATACACATTTGTGAATAACTGCTTTTGGTTTTCAGGAGGCCAATGCCAACAGTGTGGCGTGGAATACTTACTGTGAAGAGATGCTGTGCTTCTCAGGAAACAATACACTCTGTATTAAAGCCAGCAACTTCCCTGTGCACCAGCAGAAGCTTACAGTGAGTTCTGTTAATCACATCCTGACCATAGATTTCTTAACCTTTCAACACAGAATACCATCTTGTGACATGTTCCTTTCACCTCCATTCAATGTCATCCGTGCATATATCAAGGAATTTTTCTCTCTGGGGTGGGATGCTGTGTGGAGATGGAGGGTCGCCCTAGCGGCGGAGTTTTCTACTGCAGTGACGCAATATCTCTTTTCCTTCAACCATGATAGACTGCTACCTCACCCAACCTGATCCTGCAGTGAAAGGTTAAGGGAGAAGATACTATTTTCAATTGTTAAAAAGTTTAATTTTAATCCTGAAGAATCTCTGTGCCCTTTTGTAGAACTATTAGATTTTACTCCAGAAATGTTTTGGTTCATAATATTGTCATTTATGTGCAATTGCATGCATTCTTGTGACTTGTAGGGAATGCTAGTATTTTGAAAATTTATTCATTATTGTTTTGCAAAATGTTCACCTTGCATTTCCCTTCTTTCAGGGTTTTGTTGTTGGACTTTGTGGCTCCAAGGTCTTTTGTCTTAGAGTAGCCACAATGTCCACAATTGAAGTTCCACTATCAACTCCGATGTATCAGTACCTTGAGAAGAAAATGTTCAGGTTGGTGAAGGAGCAAAAGAAGTAGTCACAATTTAAAACATGAGAATTGGTGCTCAGTGTTTGACAAGAAAGGGAAAGGAAGAGTTGAATGATTTCAGATTGCGAAATGGGTTAGGCCAATAAGTAACCTTGAGTATCTGCATGTACCAGATGTAATTTTGTAGCAGGAACACCTTGTTCTGTGCTGTGCTTTGTATTCAAACTAGTCTTCATGGCCCATGTGTGAGGCCAGTTGGAGTTTTGAGTATTCGAGAATATTGAACATCGTAGAAGTCATTGTGCCTGCACAATAAAAAGCAGTCCTAAGTAGTCTTTCAGATACCTCCTTTGCTCTTCAGTGTTATATTTTTGTAGGTAAATACCAATATTTCAACCAGTGCAGATTGTCAGATCATAGAACTATTGTACATGATCAAAAAAATTGTTTCTAATATACAGTAAAGTGTTTTCACAACAAATATAAGTAAAATATTTAGGAAGTATTTGAAATAAACTGAATGTTCTGTTAAATTTAATTAAGTGTCACAGAATTGAAAATGCAAACTTTAGGACTCATTGAATCAGGGAAATAGACATCAAAATTAAGAGATTTACAGCTGTCATGATGTTGTCTAGAAATTTGTTATTACATTTTTTCAATATTTTATTATCTTAAAATACGTAATTCATATTTGCACATTGTGTACCATACTTCTCTGTGCTTGTTGTTTGAGAGTCATGTGATAACACCAAAAGTTGTTTCCTAATATGCAATAGCAGCAGCTTTTCTAGTGACATAAGCTACCTACAATGTTAGTCATAACCAGGCACCATGTTGTCCACCTAGAAAATCTTACTTTTCTGGAAGCCAAAGAATTGGAACTGTTTACTATTTTACTAACACTAATACTTGTTGTTTCTTAATGTGTCTTGGTTGGATAAATATACTAGACAGTGTGTTTTTAGGGAAGCATATGAAGTGGCTTGCCTTGGAGTGACAGCTGGTGATTGGGAAGCACTGGGTCATGCAGCACTCGATGGTTTGAATTTAGAAGTAGCAAAGGAATCTTTCCGACGAGTGAAGAACATACAGTACGTTGAACTCATTTTGGATTTTGAAGTAAGTTGAAGTTGATTGAACTTGTATATGCAACAATTTTTGGATTGTGAATAATAATGTGAAATGAACAAAGAAAACTGAAAATGATTTTCCTTTTTATAACCCCAAACAGTTGAAACTTAATTATATGAAAAATGTATTATTACATTATTTCAGTTTTTTATTACCTTAAAATCCGTTATTGATATTTGCACTTTGCACCATACTTCTTTGTGTTCATTGTGTGATAGTTGTGTAACGACACCGAAAGCGGTTTCCTATTTTTGTGCAATAACGGCAGTTTTTCCGGTGATGTAATCTACCTTTGTTGCTACCAACTTGGAATGAATAGAAAATCAGGGTTGTCCAACCAATGGCATGTGGGCTGCTTGCAGCCCACTGAGCCATTTATTGTGGCCCGTGAAATGTTAGCCAAATGAGAAAGCCCTTAGCATAAATTCGAAATCACTAATGTGTTTTACTGTGTTATGCATCATACAGCCTGATATTACGAATGGTTGCATTTCCTCCTCTTGTCATTTCAGAGCAGCCGGCCAAACTGCCGAGATCAACAGTAAGGGAAAGTCAGGTGTTGATCACCAGACTAATATAAATATGACCCACAACCATATTAAAAGTTTTAGTTAGGCCCCTTGAGACCTTGCAAGTTGGAATAGATGAAGGGGATAACAGTGTGTTACCAAATGAGTGCTTCTGACATACATCTATGACACCCAGAATCAAAATTTCATTCCATTTAAGATTTTTTTGTAGTAAATACAGACAGTATAGGTAATACATTGAAAAATTTCCAAAGTGTAGGATTGGAAGTTATTATTCGCTTTAGATTGCTTACGAAGCTCATGGAGTGGGCAATTTGGCAAGGGTAGGAAAGCGCAGCAATGCTACTTCTGCCAACGCCCAGCTGTCAAGCACAAAGAACTTTCATATGAGGAGTACTTATATCAAAAAAAAAAAGATATAAGTGTTCTGGTAATAAATACTGGAATTTTGTTTGTTTGTTTTTTTAAGAAACAGTAGGTTAGTCATAAAAAATTTTAAATAGTTTAAAAGAGAGTTTTGAATCGAAAAAGATTATAAAATTTGTGCAAGATTGGCAATGATTGCTGCAAAGTTGCATTTCACATATGGCACATGCAAGCTGCTGTTTTGCTCTAGGAACCTCATTAGCTTGATTGCTTTACTTAGAAAGAAGAGCTACATGCTCGGCAGTGAAAATTGAATTTAACTTTACTGATACTCCAACTCCTATTACCTCTTTCTAATTATTATTATATATACCACCTTGGGTGGTGTGCATTGGCATATCAACCTTCAGCCCCTGAATTCTCACTTTCTTGCTAGTTTTTCTGAAATATTGATCACCTAAAGGTAATTGGATGAAACAAAAGGGAATTGACTAATTAAAAATTTATTGAAACTTTTAAAAAATTCAACATTATACTATTCAACAAATGATAATTTTAAGAACAATATATAAGTAGAATATATAAGTTGAAGCATTATCGAAATAACTGTCTTTTTAGGATCGTCGTCGAAGAGGAGAAAAGGATGATGAAGTTTTCCTAGCTGATGTTTTAGCATACAGATGCAAGTTCAAGGAGGCAGCTCGTTTATATCAACGGGTTGCACAGGAGCAAAAAGCTCTAAATATGTACATGGACTTACGGATGTTCGACTTGGCTCAGGTAAAATAATATGTTATTTAATTTGAGGAAGAATATTCTCTACTCTCAATTATCCTTCAATTTATTTTATGAGACAACTTTTGTATGATTAGATGTTATAAACCGGAATGATGAAAGATTTTAAAATGTAAATTACAAGACAGGAACCAGACGGTAGTCATCGTAATCATTGGATATTTAACATTTGCTGCAACCTCTCAGTTATCAGCCGACTCACTTAGTAACTATACATTTCCACCACATTTTTAGCACCCTAGGGAGCCTTCACCCTAACTTCAGTTCTTTAACTCCACTGTGGCTTAAAGTTCAGCTAAAGGATAGTGTATTGAACAAAAATGTATGACATTAAAAAAAGTAAAAATGATATTGAAAATCAATCATCTATATTTTCATAATGTGGTTAATGAGGATATCAGCAAAAATTTTAGCTGTGATTTTATGGTTTATATTAATATTCATAATAATCATAAGATTTATTGAAAATATAATGTTAATATTTGTTTTGGGAATGTTTTTCATTACTTTGGTTCTATGAGCAGGAATTTCTTGGATCTGTGGATAATATTGACCGTAAAACCATAATTCGGAAGAAGGCAGAATGGGCCCGAAACAATAACGAGCCTCGTGCTGCTGCAGAAATGTATTTATCTGCTGGAGATACACAAAGAGCAATTGAGATCATTGGTGAGAACGGATGGGTTGAAAAGTGAGTATGATATCTAGTATGATTACTGCTCTTGTTCTTTGCAGCAAAGGAGTGAACCACACTGAATATTATTTTCAAAGAGGTATTCTCAACTGATAAAATTTACTTAAAAGACAGAAAATATTCAGATAAGTGTGACAAAATATTGGATTCAAAATAATACTTGCTGGGAAAACTTTGCATAGTTAGAAGTGCTATAATTTTTAATAATTCAAGTAATCATCATCAATGTATTAAGGTTTAGGTCCCATGGCCTGTTCCTTGTTTCCAGTATTTCCCTACACACTACTAGTTAAGGTGTTTTTGATCATCCCATCGTTTCCTTGGTATGCCAGAGTCTCTATTTTCTCTTGGTCTGTTGTTAATTCCCTTCTTTGGAAGTCTACTTGGTTGCAATCTTCTTATAAGTACTTGCCATTTTGCCTACTATTTCTCTATTTCAGTGACCTCGTTCCTTGTTTTCTGTATCTCTTTGTTCCTTATTTGATCTTTTCCAGTTACTTGAAGTATTACTCTGATACTTCATTTGGGCTGCCTCTATTCACTGTGTCTCTGTTTGAAGGTCCATGTTTCACTCCTATATTGTAGGTTTGGTTTTGCCACCATGTTGTGGATTCTTATTTTTGTTTCTTTATTCATGTTTCTGAAGTGTCTTTTTAAGCAGCCATTGATATTGTTAAACTTTGCCAGTTTTGTTTCTATATCTTCCTCTCATAGTAACATCTTGTTGCCGAACTTCGTAAAAGTTGCTACTTGTACAATTAGCTGATTAGCTATTACAATTTTTACTGTGTGGTAATCTTTTTCTGCTATTCCCATTGCCTTGGTTCCAGTTATATCTCTCTTAATTCAAGTAATTTTTTGAGTTAATGTTCAGACATTCTTCACGCACAGGTAGTATGAAATATTTTTATGTTGAAAAAGGTTATTTTAGCGGCGGCGATGGTGTAATGGTTCGCATATTTGACTGTTATACCCAAGCTGGCGGGTTCAAACCCGATCGACACCGTGGAAGGGTGAAAACATCCTTCAGAGGGGAAGTTAAGCCAACTGTCCCATGTTAGTAGATAGTAGATGTAAAAGCTAAATTCAAATCGCCTGTTTTTCGCTCCAAAAATACCTCCTTTCTCTGCTAGTTGGTGAAAGGAGTGGAGCTAAATTTGCATGGTCAGATGGAAGAGTGGGCCTGATGGCCCGAGTCTCGCCACGTAAATAAGGCATTAGATCAATTCAATAATTCAATTATTTTATAAGGAACAGATTCAATCTTAATGTATGGCCTGAGACTCATGGCTGGTATTCAAATGTCTTTGTAGACTAGTGGATGTTGGGCGACGTCTGGACAAGGCAGACCAGGAAGCTATTGCTTTAGTGGCCACTCACTTGAGGCGACTTGAACAACTGACATATGCCACAGAGATGTACAGAAAACTTGGTGATGAAAAAAGTGTTGTCCAGCTGTATGTGGAAGCAAAGGAATGGAAGGAAGCTTTTGTGTTGGCTGAGAAACATCCAGAGTATAAGGATTTGGTTTATGTGCCATATGCCAAATGGCTGGCTGAAAATGACAAATTTGTTGATGCCCAAAAAGGTAATTCTCTATTTTTCCTTGATAAATTGATGTTTCTTTTTTAAATATACCTGCTTTGCTTTGTTAAACATTTCAAAATGTAATGTAATGTAATGTATTTTAATCCTTTGTGTTCCTCTGCTGAGTAAGTCACAACATTAAAGGATGGGTCTTTTTTTTTTTCTTCCTGTGGAGTAGACAATTCATGCACATGCTTTATGAAGTTCATTATAGTAAAATGTCAGCTTTAAAATAGTTTTCTACACTATTAACTTATTAAAAAACCATTATGTCAACTAAATAAAATATTCCTCAGGATAGATTAGATAACATTCCCTAAGCAAGTTACGATAGACCATTGACCAAAATGTCATCAAGGCAAGTAAGAAATCCTAATTTTCTCAACCCTTTTAAAATTTTTGTTGAGTGCAAATGACACTATCCAAAAGAATATTGAATGTAAACAATGGAGAGGTATGCTATGTTTTTTAGTTGAAAGTAAATAAACAACAATTAATTCATCGTAAGTCAAATGTTTATTAAGAAAAAAACACAAGATGTACAAAGAAAATCAGATTTAAACAATTCGGAATGAAAGTAACTCATATTAGTTTTGGGGATAATTATTGTTAATTGTAATATTAATTGTTCAATTAAAAAGTTGTATATTATGTAAATTAACCTCATTTTCTTGGCATTCTAAATGAAACTTCTCCTGTACATAATCATATTTACTGATGATCTGAAGGTGTCGCCACGGGAAGTTGATGCGCCAACTTCCTCACCAAACATCATTTCCTTAAGTGTCTTTAAGTTCAGGAGAATTATTTGCATCCATCTTTTCTCAAACCATGGCATACGAATATTGTTTTAATAGATATACCACAAGCAACTACCCACAATAACGTAACATGCAGCAGCAACGGAATTAATTTGTTTACTATTACAGTAGTATTGTAAATTTTCGCATTAATCTTCAGATTTTATGATGACTGATAAAATGCTGAACATACCATGAAACAAGCATCAAAATAAAGTAAAATAGTGTATCGATGCTTTGCAAGCATGCCACTGGGATTTAAATAAAGAGTGAAAGGGAATGCAAAGCTCAAAGAATTGAGGGTGCAAAGGGTTAAATGATTACTATGTATTGACTATAAAAAGTTGAAAAATGTATCTGTGCCATAATTACTGTAAAGTAAACAACCATCCTAGAATAAATGTTCCTAAAGAGAGAAGTTTTGATGGTGTTTGTTTTTAATGATGAATGTTCATGTGCTCAACACACTTTTTTCATTTTTTTCTTCTTCCAAAGTTTGATAAATCTTGACTCCGCTTATTGATAAAATATGTTGATCCATGCAAAATCATGTTTCTCTCTGTGGATAGGGGAAATGTAGTGTAGAAATCAAGTCATCAAATTTTTTATCTTCTCAATTTTTAAAATATTAAGACTTTGCAATTAACACATTGAAGGCATTTTTATCGAATTAAATCCATTTTGTGGCTATCTCAACAAAGAATGTTGACCTGTTAAATGTTCTCCACAGCTTTCCATAAAGCTGGGCGCCCTGAGGAAGCATTTCATGTCTTGCAGGAGTTGACTCACAATGCTGTTAATGAAGCCAGGTTCCAAGATGCCAGTTACTATTATTGGATTCTGGCTCGGCAGTGTTTAGATATTGCAAGCCAAAAGTAAGTCACTTTGATAATTTTCTCATCTTTGTTCATTCACTTAATTTCATTTAATTCTGACAAGATTGTGGATATTCATAATTGTCTCATTGCGTGTTACAAAGGCATCAGACCATTTCAAATAACATTCTATTTCTGTCCCTGATAAAACCAAAGAAAATAATTTATCTTTAAGAGAAATCTTTAAAAACTTCTGCTTTCACAATGAGCTGCTTTCTAACTCATGAACACAGTGAAAAATAATTTCACCAAAATTGTAAATATCTTTAAAAACAGAAACAATTCTAGCAATATGTGTATAGTATAAAGAAAAAATAATGGTTTCCGCCTCTGTTGTAATGTAATTGTATCAAACATTTTAGTTTGAAATGTTTCAGAAACTTGTGCATATTTTTACCCATTTTCTAGATTATTTTCAACCTCTTCTAAATTTGTTATCTTTGCTTTTGAAGAAATCAATATATACTTAAATATCAGACTGTGTACCATATTAAGAAATTTTATATTATGATTTGGAGGCTTCTAATGGAGAATTGCAACTAAAAGTCAATACTGTGTGGACTTCGTATATTTATTTTGCAATATACATCAGAGAATGAAAATTTTCAAGAGGAGATAATTTGTTAATTTATATCTAAACATAAAATCTGGTTACACCAGATTTATGCACAATTGAATTTAATGAGTCTGTTTTTGCTTTTAGTTGATATTTCATTATTTCACTTCACTATTATTTCATAGGATTGCAATGTGGTTATGCTATTATATCACTGATGAATTATCACTGATTAACTCAAGGAGATTTTATAGGAAAACGTATCAGACTGAAATATATTATTTTGTGTGCAGGAAATATGAAACTATAGGTGATAATTTGAGAATTGCAGTAACTTCCTGAGAGATTTTTAATGGAAAGAAAAGAGAAAAAAGCAAGGCTAAATATCAATTAAATTAGTGACGTTTTCAATGCAAATTTTATTTAAAATGAAAGGGGGGAAATTGAATAAAGTAAATCGATTTTTCAGTACCAGTTGTCAAACATTGATAATTTACTAATCATTGTTGTGTTTGTATCTTCCAGTGCAGAGAGACAACAGGAAATGATTGCTAAATTTTATGAGCATGAGAAATATGCTTCAATATACTATGCTTATGACACAATTCAACGCTATCTGGTTTGTACTTTTTATATTGATGCTCTGAGCACTTGCTTCTCATTTGGTCTTGGTGGTTTTTGAACAGATACATGTTCCTAACAGGAACATACAAGATCTCAACTCACTTTGCTCTAAGATGGTTGCACGTCCTGGGGTGGAGGTGACACACCACGCACTACTCAAGCACTTTTTTCACTGCAATTATTCAATTAGGAGGATGTTTCATAAATTTAATGTAAGAATATATTAACATCTTAGCATGATTGCTTCTAATCATTTTATGTAATTCCATAGAACTACCTGTAATTACTTCGCCCTTTGTGTTCTGCATGTTCAGATTAGAAAAGAGCATGAAAAGTATAGGCTTTACCTTGTACTTAATATCCATGATTTTAACTTTTTATTATTGTGATGAATATGTGTAAAGTATAACTAAGGAATACCCAAAATCAGTGATAATTCTGAATCATCAAGACCACAATATCAATCATTATACTTTTAAAATGCAAATAACATTCAGTTGATTACATAAATCATTGTGATTACTTACATTCAAAATTAAGGTATATTGTTTTTATAGAGGTGTTAACCTGAAAATTTTTTTAAAATATCAAGCCCTTTAGCTTGATGCCTCATTTCAGCGATATTAGGATTTTGATAGATCCCCTCCCTTCTCATGCTGTCACGAAGCATGTACATTTCAGCAGTGTATTAGTACATTATTACAATTACATAAAAGACTAGGATTTTGGGGTGTATTGTAATTCAACATGGTCAAGGGTCAGTGAGTCATTTGATTTTTATCATGCTTATGTGGAAATGACTACCAACTATCATGCCAACTTTTTTTTTATTTTAATTTTGATTATGCCTTAAGCTTTTTTTAGAACTGGTAAGTTTTATTACAAGAATATACCTATCAGTTCAACAATTTTAATTTTAAAAAAATACACATATTTTGATTCACAATAAATTTTTGATGTGAATTATTTTAATGAATTATGTCTTATATGACACGTCAATTAGTGTATTTTTTTTTTTTCAAGAATACTTAACTGATTAATATATTCATTCAATACAATTGTCTGTAAGGAAAGCCATGGATGTAATGAAGGTTAAAAAGTATTCTAATTTTAACAATCATTTGGTTAAAATTTTGCGTGAGGGAGGAGTAGGTTCAGAAACCCCAAACAACAGTCCTCTGTTATTGTAATTGATATTGCATGCACAATGTTTGTACAGAAAAATGTTTTCTCCTTAACAACTCCTAGATTATTTCATTTTTTATATGATTTTATGACTGTTTTGCTTTAGGATGAGCCCTTCACCTCTTACATGCCAGAAGGTCTCTTTAACATTTCCAGGTTTCTTCTTCATGAAATTAAAGATGGATGTCCAAAAGGAATATCACAATTGTATCCTTTCAGTGATGAACATTTGTTTTCATGTCTTGGCTTTTTATCAGGGCCATGTATGTTACCATTTGATTGTCATACCCGTAAAATGGGTAAGTGGTAAACTATTAAAAATATGAAAGTATTTATTTTAAACTTTTTCTTAAAACTGTACTTTGAGTTTTGTAAAGTTATTTATAACACAGATATTCAACTTTTTTTGTATTGTACTAGAATATGAAAATACAAATTTCTGCAAATGTTCCTAGGTTGTAGTCTAATGGAGTACATTTTTTGTAAAATCTAATAAAGCACATTGTATTTTCATTGTTTTAGAATCCACTAAAAATTATTGAAAATACAATTTATTTTGGTAATGTAAGTGTACTGCGGTACCCATTAAACGGAATAATTTATCATCTTTGCAATTTAAAATTGTTGAGAAGGTCCTTTGCCCTACCTTCTGCACAAAATACGAAGTTATTCTTCTTTCTTCCTCCATTATTTTCAAGTAAGAGAGAGCAGTGTGTGCGGTGTGTAACAAAGGTTAAGGCTCATCATCTTAAAATATTGTGTGATGCATTTCACCATCAGGGTGATACAGGGAGTTGATCAGCTGATGAACAGTGCTGTTTTCATGAAAAGCAATATTTTAATTTAGAGATAATTTTTTAGTATTCCTATTGAAATGGTTCTGAAAAGGAAGTTAATGTTAATATCAGAAAATATGGCATTATATATTGATTCGAAAAGGATTGAAATGTCAGATAACCTTAAGTGAAGATATGGTAATTTATATTAGGATTTTCACTTGTTTGAGTTCCTGCCTATAAGAGACAGAAAAGTATGTCCCCATATGTCTCTTAAAACTAGGTTCTATAGTAATTTTATTGTTTTATATTAATTACTGTTATGAGATTAATGTGATCCTGTTCAATATTGCAAATTTCTTTGACATTCATTGTGAAGTGTTATTTTATTCTGTGATGACTGTTAAAATCCCTTAACTAAATAACTAGTGCTGTATTGTATTCTCTTGCCAAACAAGCTCGAAACTTGGGTGCTTATAAATTGGCAAGACAAGTCTTAGAAAAGATGCAACATCTTCATATTCCTTCAAGGTTTCAGGTAACATTCTTTTCATTCATAATAATTGTATGATAAATTTCATTTATAATTGTTGTGAAAACAAAATATACAGGGAATCAATTTCTTTGTTGGAATACTTATGAAAATGTAACAAATCATTTAAAAAATATTGATCAATAGACATGACCTAAAACTATTTCTTACGAATCTTAAATTGTGCACAACCAAGAATTTTCTACAAAAGTCAAAATTGTAATGAAAATTAAATAGCTGTTTGCAAACACACATAGACTCTGCATTTATATTAATTACAATTCCAATACATGAATTTTTATAATATTATACATATTCTAACAAAGGATATGTAGTTATTATTTACGTGTTAAATTGTGCTTATTTCACATATACATTTTTTTTTATCATTTCAAAACTTTGCAGGAATATGTTGACTTGTCTGTTCTGATGGTACGAGCTAAACCTTACCATGACAATGAAGAGTTGCTCCCCATGTGCTACAGATGCTCAACTTACAATCCACTATTAACTTCTTCAGGCAATGGTTGTACTAACTGTGGCCAGCCATTTGTATATTCATTTGTTTCATTTGGTGAGTGTGCATTCTCTACTCATATTATGAATTGTAGCAATATGTATTTCAAAATTAGTTATAAAGTGTTGTTTTTAGAAATTTTACCCTTGGTGGAGTTTCAACTGGAACCCGGCATCTCTGATGAAGAGGCTGTTCATCTTATCGAAGCACCTGCCCCCTCACAGTCCCAAGCTGACAACTGGATGGAAAGAGGGGATGACAACTTCCAAGCCCTTCAATTTGATGACACTTCTGCCATTGATGATCCCTTCACTGCCTGTGTAGTGCGTTTAAAAGTGTACATTATTAGCTTATGAATAACACTAATATCTAAACCACGTGTGGAAATTTCAACAAATGAATATTCCTCAATCAATCTGGCTGATGCCAGAAAATTTGAAATGTATATTTTAATTTTGGGGGGTATCTTGCACAAGACATTGTATTCTCTCATCTTCCTGGTACCTAAAGCACAAATGCAGTTTTGTAAGATTATAATACTGCACTCTTTAACTAACTGGTCGGTAGAAATAATACCATTTATTTTACATATTTGTATGGTTTTACCTTTAGTTTTGGTATGTGAACTATTTGGCCTGTTACGGGATTGAGTATTTCCACCTGGCCCTAGTGAGTATTCTAAGGGTGATGAAAATCACTCTGAAAGTTGCTGTTTGTCATAAGTATTTGATGAGGTGTAGTAGAGAAAGAAAATGCATTGATATACATGATAGCTAATGGTATTACATTCTTTATTTCAGAACGACAATGCAGATTTTCTTCCAGTTGTAGTAAATCGATCAACACTCCAGGCAATGGAGCCAGATAGTGTTGTTATTTGCAGGTGGCCATCACCTTTAAAATATCAGTTTTATCGTAATATCTTACCAGAACTTCAAATAACATTATGTTCTATTTGCAACAAGGTAAGATTTTATTATATGCCTTTGTAGTAGTAAGCTGTTGAAATCAGGTTTTCTAATACCATTCTTTCCACATTGAATTACTAAATTATTTAGTTTTTAATTTTTTTAAGTTAGCTAAGATTCTAATGATATTCCTAGCAATGCAGTTCTGCAGAATCTGATGTCAATCTGCAATAATGTTTATGAGAACTTACTAAAGTAGTCCTCTTGCTTCTTCCTTGCCTTAGATCTGATATTTACAAAAAAGGTAGGAATTACCTATTTTTATTAATTATATTGTTTATTCCTAGGTTTTCCATGTTGATGACTTTGAAGTACAAATTTTGCAAAAGGGCCACTGCCCATTTTGTAGATCTCCCACCAAAACTTCAGTGGAACCTGAAGATTCTTTGGTTGGTTAAAAAACTTATATAAAACAAAATAAATACAGTGCATAGTCTATATTGTTGTTTTTCTTAAATCACTGGGCTGATTCATTGTGCTCTTTCCTTCCATCTTATATTATGTTGTTCGCTAGACTGATTTACTGGGGGGTTGTATTTTACAACTTTTTTGGAACTCGCGTAATGATGTAATACAGAAGCATTACTTATTGTCTTCTCAAGAAAACTAAAATATTGACTTTAGAATCAGCCCGATATGCATTCTACTCCAAAATGATGGTATTCAATATGTATGTTCTATTCCTATTCACATGTTTGCTTCCATTCAGATCAGTTGGCACAATTGTTTAATAAAACTTTGGGTGCCTTTTTACTTTCCCATATACATATGTATATACAGAGTAATATTCATAGTATAGGGAAAGTTATGTAATGCTGCGTTAAAAAAATGGCGGATTTCCAGCAGAAAAAAATTCATTGCTGGGCCCTGATATTGAAACAAGTGGTGCTAGAGAATGGCACAGAATTTCCTGTATTAGTTTTCTATTTCCATTGATCTTGCCTAGCTATTCGGACTTGCTACATACTCTTGCCACCTGCCATATATCGCTGCCCAAAGTACATTTTTTAAAAAAATTAATCTTCCTAATAGTGAAACAGAAATTTTATTTTAAGAATATTAAAGAATAATAAAACCGAGTTCTAAAAATTGGAGCCGTTTTTAAGAAAATGGCAATTAAGCACTACCTCAACCTCTTTTCACATAAAACTATTGTTGAATTTTCACAAAAAACTAGTGTGTGTTTGAAAAACTTCATGTGACATCATTTCAAGCATTTCCAGTCACAAATGCAAAAGTGTTTACAAATTGCTGGAAATGTGCATATTATAATCTAACTAATTATAACTATTATATTTAAAAAAAAATACTTTTGTATCATTTTTGAAAAAACAAATGAATACAGCAAAATTAATTCTATGTAATCTTAAACAGTGTAATTAGCACTATCTGTTGGAAGAGTTTGAAGAAAAAATTTGGAACCATTTTTGAGAAAATGCCATTTGAGCGTTACTGAAAATGCAGAATTTTGGGCAAATTTTCACAGAAAATGTTGACTTTTCAAGAATAATTATCTGACTTTATTTAAAACACATTTACTTATAAATAGATTAATGTAAAGAAATTGCTGCTAATGTAAATATTGAGACAAGTAAATTAAATTAAATTTTTGAAGAAACAAAAGAATACAGAAGTATGGTGTTTATGTCATCTTATAGAGTGAGTTTAATACCATCGTTACCAAAAGTTTATATAGAATATTAGGAGCCGTTTTTGAAAAAATCATTTTTTTGTTCATTGCTAATATTGCACAAAAACTATTAAAATTTTCAAATGTACATGACATTAATGAAACAATTACTTATGGACAATAATTTTCATTTGAAGGAAAAATCTTTATCTTCAATTTTGTAGTCTTAGGAAGATAGCAAAAATTTAAATTTTTTTTGGCATTTTTGAAAATTCAGAGTTCACAGTGAAAATCAAAGCTATCTACCTTTTTAAGTGTGTTTTACTCTTATTCCTAAATGAAATTTAAAGTAAAAATTGTTTTTGAAAAAATGCTGAAAACGTCTTGGAGGCTTCATGTAAAGTATCCCCAAATTTTAAAGAATGTTTTTCAAAATCTCAAAGCTTCGACTTGAGCCAGATGAACAAGGTTTCTTCAATTTGGAAAAAATCCTATGCAAGGTTTAGCCGCTAATGGTGTTTACAGACACATTTGAAAAAAAACACTTTTTCGGTATCTATGAATCAATTGACGGCAAAATATCCGTCAAGTCTGGTGTCTGTGAACACTACTAGTGCCTTAACCATGTTAAGGATGAAATCCCTGACCATCTGGCTGAAGTCTTAGCTTTGAGATTTTGAAAAACATTCTTTAAAATTCCCTACTTTTCTTCAAACTTTTTGAATAAATAGCACTAATTGCACTGTTTCATGTGACCAAAACGTGTGTGGTATGTGTGTTTTTTCTTCCCTCCAAAAAAGTACTCAAATATAATTTTATTTAAATATCTCTCATGACATTAAAATGCACATTTGCAAACACTATTGTATTTGTTAGCTAAAGTGCTTCAAATGAAGTTTTCCAAAAACTGAAAAAGCTTCTGTGAAAGAGCTTCAAATTTTGAATTTCCAGTATTGCTTTTCCAATAATATTGCCATTTAGGACGAGGTTTTCCTGTTCTTTAATATAATAATGTATTTAAAATAATATTTTCATTCTACAATTAGGAAACTGAAAAATTGAGAAAATTTTTAAAAAATGTACTTTTGAGTGGGGATAGCAGCTGGCAAGAGCATGTGGCAAGTCTGAATAGCTTGCCAAGACCAAAGGAAATGGAAAACTAATACAGGAAAGTCTGTGCCATTTGTAGCACCAGTTGTTTTTACCTTGTTTTCTAGAGTTCTATTAATTATTTCACAAATAAGATTGAAACACACTCATTTCACTTTCTGCATCAACTTCTGAACTTGCCTTGTGACTGAAATATTAGACTAGAAAAAAAATACCACACACCTCTTTTTTTGTTGTTTAACTGTCTTCATAATTAATTCTTCTCTCTTCTTGGCTACATCTGGAGAGAATCTTAGGGTATGTTTACTTGAGAAGTGCCATCAGTACATACATTTTTTTAATGACCTACAAATTCTTTAGTTACATTTATTATATTCACTGAACTATTATGGAAAGACTTAAATGTGAAGTTTTAATGTTTTCTAATGTCCATCTATTATGTCATGTCTTGAAAAATCTCTTCCCAATCCTTGAATATTATATCAACAAATAGTTTGGAGTCTTCCATTCTCACTCAAATGAATTTGGGTATACAGATTCCTCCAGCTTGGGCCATGAGAAGCCTTGTCACAGATTAATACACATCATCTAATATTCATCCATGGGCTTGTGCTTTTCCGTTATTCTCTGCTTTCTATTTTGACCAACTTTTAATTTTGTTTCTGTTAATTTTTCAAAAATATATCTAGAAATTATATTTTTCTTAAATTAACTGTATGTACCAGTCAAGTCATGTAACATTTGTTCATGGTTTGTGAAATGTAAGGACTAACACACTTGACAAATTCCTTTTTTTTTATTTTTTTGCATATGATGGAAATTGTCCCCAAAATGAGATTTTTTTTTATTATTGCGGGGGGGAAAATTGAAAACAATTGGAAGGGGAAACGTTTGAGGAATTTTTTAGCGAAATTATTTGCATGTGGAGTTAAGTAATTCTCAATTACTATGAAACAATTTTTTTCTCCCTAATTTTCATGAATCAAATCAAGAAAAATAAACTACAATAGTTTCGAGCAACTCAGATAATGAACGATTGACTTGAATTTAAGGGGACACCCAACTAATGTTTGTCCATAATTTGGAGAATATTTCAAAATTGGGCAATAGTTTCATTGGAGGATTATTTGGGTAAATTCCATAGTAGGTATTGGAAAAGAGTTCATGACACACCAGGCAACAATCTATTCGTACTATGAAGTGTGATGTTGAAAATAAGGATTTTATCTCCTTGAATTTGTTTTGCATTTAATTTTCTTAATTTATGAGAATCCAGAATATTATTTGATTTGCAATTTGTAGTTAACTGGCCATGAATTGCCATAATTGATTAAATATATTTCCAATGAAACCAATTTAAGCAGATAGAACCTCAATTTATCCATGGTATTAATTGCATACCACAGAATACATCTGACATCAGTCTAGAAATTGTGAAAATTTACCAATTTTATTTAAAAAATTGTAGGAAAGAGTAATTAGTAATGCAACACCTTGTAACCCGTCTAGATTGTAGTACTAACCTTGTGCTTCTTGCCGAAAGTATTGTATATTCACATCAATCGGGGAAAAAGAAGGAACATTGAGAAATCACTTTGGTTTAAATATTAAAGGTTAATAAAATAGCTCCAAAGATTGCAAGAAATATTTGAATCTGGCATATATCTTAAAATTTAGTTTAACATTTCTAATATCATTTCTATTAAATTTATGTTTTGCAAATGCTTTGACTTCGAGAAGTAAAGGAATATTCCTTTCAAGAAAACAAAAAGTGGAAGAATAAAACTCAGTAGAATATCAATTTATTTATTTAGAAATTAAGAACATTTATTCCTTCTTGGAACGGGCTTTCTTGGTGCGGATGGGTTTCTGCGACCTCACAACTGCACTGGCACGGCGCAGCGCAGCCTGCAATTAGAAAAAAGGATATTCTTAAACTCTTCACCAAGTTAAAAAAAATTACCTGGTTAAAGGTCAGTATACGGTACACCCTTAGAGAAGTGAGGCAGCGAGGCTTAAGCCCTAATTACTGTACGTGCTCTAAAAGAAATAAGTAAAACTTACGAATAGGAGATTTTAATGGTTTGCCCTTCATATGCTTTGTCCCCGTTACATTGTAACGCCAATTTACTTTCAAAGGCAAGTTTTCTCGCTTTGCAGGCCCCGATCCAAGTCGCGACAAGGCTTGGGCCTTCGGCCCTCGCATTCACTATAAACATCCTTGAGTCTATCCAATGCATAATTACCAATTCACTTTTATAAGACATCACTTTTCAAGAAAGCCTCCAGAATTCTGACTGCCTAGTTAACACCGAAACAGCGCACAGTGTCGATTTAAACGACTTCCTTAGGTTGTACCGTAAACTACATTTCAGCCAATTACCTTACTCTTTAATTTGCTTATAAAATAAAGTAAAATTCTGAATATTAATCAGTATTAACAATGGAGAGTTCCCCCCCCACACACACACACACTGTATACTAAGGCCTGCTGCAATGATGAATATAAACCTTCATTACTAAGGTGTTTATTTGTAGTTACACAGTGACTTAGTGTAATTATCTTATTTAAAGTTATTAAAGTGTGGTGGTAGAATTGCAAGCCCACACAATAGCTTGCCCCTAGAACAAACTCTTCGAAACGAGGGAAGTTTTAATGCAGAGTGAGTGGAGACAAACCACTGTTGCAGGAATGAGGGTCAAAAAAAGGCCCTTGCAAACACAGAATGTTGAACCAATTGGGTAGCAACATTCATAAGTAAATTGTGGACCACTTAGTTCTAGAATACATCAGTTATAAAATTGCTGTCTTGAAAACTTCATTTGACCATAAACATATGTAGGTAAGGTGCTCAGACTAAAGTAAGTCTCATAACAGTACCCTACCTTAATAATAGCATTTAAAGAGGAATTGGAGCACTATTCTCCAGACGAACAAAAAATCCGAATATCTAATTATTATTCCTAAATTTTCATTACATGCTAAACAAGTGCATACTGACCTTGATCAGATCCCGACGGTAATAGTTCTTGTTCAGCAGTCTCTTCAACTTGTAAAGAGACCTGCGGGGTCCTGCCTTCCACGTTGTCCTGATGTTTGACTTGGCAGGCTTGAACTACAAGAATAATTTTTAGAAGCAATACTCTTATTATTTCAAGATTTAATTTATAGTGAAACAAAATACGTACTGTCGCCTTTGTTCGCTTGATAACTGCAGTAAACCCTTTGTTGTCTGGGGCAGCAACAATGCCAACAGATTTTCTATGAACCAATCCATTGTAACGATAAGAGTTCAAGTTTGTCAGATTGTTGGGTTCCTGCACAAACCGTAAAAGTATTGTATTTAATTAAAACGTTTACACATCTGAACTATATAACAAGGAAAACAATATTTTCCCCATAATTTTTAAACAACTTAAAACATTTTAACATATTACAGATAACTTTGGTTGATCGGAAGTTAGTGGTGTCTCAGTTTCTTCAGTATTGACGTCTATCTATCCGCCACATAATTTTTAAGATGAGTATTCGCATAAAATTCTCTAGTTATTATGCATTGGGCAGATTCAAAGATGTTTAATGATAACACAAGAGCCAAAGGCTCGAGCGTCAACTTAGGCACGCCTAGCTAAGCGTCACAATTCCGCGCGCGCGACACCGGCAACTTCAGATTTACCATACCTTTTTACATATTACAAACAAGTCCGATCTTCCAAATTTTAATAATTGAAAATGGTTGAACGTATGTGATAGTATTATGGTTATGAACGTAAATTAGTGTTGTTTTATCTCACCGTGCTGAAAGGTTTTTTAACATTCCTTTTTTTCAACAAATAGGCACTGTTGTTGCGGATTATCATCCACTGCAGATGAGAAGAGTAATGCATCTGGAACAAATCGAAAATCGAGTGAACATTGATATTTTCATCAATCAACTTCGTTCATTCCATACGTCCACGTGTGTTCTCTTTTCCGTTAAACAATTCATGGGTCCCACGAAAGTATACAAGAAGAAATACTGAATATTAAATCTCTGATACCTTGTCTTAGTTAACACAGATGAAAAATGTGTAATTTAACTTGCTCTAACAAATTAACACCACCAAATCACCACTTCCTATCGCCTGCTCACCACACGCTCTTCATTCGCGAAAGAACGGAAGTTACTACTAAGTCAAATTACTGGGCATGATCATTCAAAAAGGAAAAAAATACATTTTAAAAATACCTATCGACACGACATTAAAAAACATATTTTTAGAATTTGAAATAATGCCTTACTGTCTTATAAAATTATTATATATAAATTATTTAATTTCCTGTCCAAAGAGTGTACAGTAGGATTTATTTAACCATAAACTTAAATTGTATGTTCACGGATTCACCCAATCGGGAGCTTGAATATCCCTATAGTGACGTCACTATAGCGACATCTCGATTGGATGAAATGTGAACAGCTGATTTACGTCAAGTGCGCGACTAAATAAATCGTACAATTATACTGTGCACATGCTGTGCATTGCAATGTACTGTGGTGTACTGGCCAGGTGCTGGATGTGCGATTAGGGAAGTTTTTGTGACAATGACAAACGGTACATATTCTTAAGCTGATCGTCTGTGATACGGGCCAATGCAAACTAAATGACATCACTAATATAGATGGTGCTTCGGAATCCAAAACTCCCAAGTGTTAAGTAATGGGTTCTGTATTGTCGAATGCGATTGTGATATACAGCAATGTAAACAGACCGTACAATACGCAGTGGGTTAAGATGATCCTGACTGAAAATTACGGAGTATTGAAAAGATGAAGGATAAAGTGTCCTGCAAAGGAACGCGAAATGTTTATGTGACGTTCGTGTAAGAACCAATTGATTTTGAAGACATTTGTGGATATTAAAAAAAAAAATTGTGACGTGTACTTTGTAACTTTTCAGTTTTACTATGGCTTCTGAAGAGCAAAAAAAACTTGCAGAATTTATAAAAAATGTACATCAAATGCTCCGAATTAACGCAAGAAAGATCGGTGCGTCTCAAGCATGGAAAGAACACTGCCAGGAAGAAAAAATTTTATCACAATATGCAGAAGCTATGCGTCAACTTGCGTTAGAACATTGGGAACATAATGCAGATAAAAAAGTCTACTCTCGCATCCAGTGGATTGCTGAACAAAGTTTAAAGTACTTTTTTAATGGGGGACGAGAAATTGAACGCAATAAAGAGATTAAAAGAAATCAATATCAAGAAAATAGTGGTACAGAATATAAGAATTTTGCAGAATGTAAAGATAATATATCAACAGGTGAATTGATACTATTAGATGTAGGAAGTTGTTACAATCCTTTCAGAAAGTACCCCTTTTTTAGAGTAATTCCTATTGACTTGAAACCAGCTTCCAATGACGTTTTTGAAGCAGACTTTCTTAATTTGTCTGTAACCTCTGACAAGGTGACTACTGAAGATATTACAAAATTGTTACCAATAAGATCACTTCCAGAAAACCACTTTGATATCGTTGTTTTCAGTTTGCTTTTGGAATACATGCCGTCTTGCCAGCAAAGATTTGTGTGTTGTGAAAAAGCATATCATATCTTAAAACCTGAAGGCCTCTTGTTCATCATCTCTCCAGATTCTAAACATGCCTCTGCCAATGCTTCTTTGATGAGGCAGTGGAGAATATGTTTGGCATATTTGGGTTTCACTCGCGTAGTATATGAAAAGTTACCACATATTCATTGTATGGCTTTTCGTAAAAATTGTCATGTTGTTGCTTCACAACAATGGGCTAGGCGAGCAATGTCTCAGAAAAACGAATATTTTCTCATGGAGAACATAGATAATGTGCATGAACTTTTGAAGATCCCTCAAGATGATACTGAGTATTTAATTGCAGAAGTGGTAGAACAGCCAATACGATCTGATGAAGATAACTCTGAACTTGTTGATATGTTTGAGGAACTTCCACAAGATCTTGAATTGTTGTAACTAGTTTTAGTTTAAGGTACCGTCTACAAAGAAATATATTGACACTTTTTGTTTCTCTTGAAAATATTGAAATATACTGCTCAACATTTCCATGTACTATGGTACATTTTATGATTTCATTTAAACTTTTCTGGAGTATACATGCATTTTTCTTGAGATTTAGTGGCTGAATTGCACCCAAAAAAGTATTCCTTACAATTTGCGTATGTTTGAAGATTCATACAATTTTTTGCAACTATGTTTCATGGTTTTACAATTTGTCATATAAACAAATGTATGTTACATACTTTTTATTAAGATTTTTGCATTAGTTGTGCTAACATTAAAATAAGCTCATAAATTGATAAATAAAATGAATACATTGAAACCTACTGGAACGGCCACCTCGAGTAAGCAGTCACCTCCAAAGATCGATAAATTAATTTTTCTATAAGACACTTGTAAATATATCTTGTTTCGAGCGGCCACTCACATTTCGTGAATTTACCTTTATTAAGAGACGTCTTCTAGGGATTTTGGACTGTAACTGAATAGCGGTAAAGCCGTGAATACTGTTGATTTGGTATTTCGTGGGACAGAACACATTGTTAACTTTGATAGAACAATGACAATTCGCAAAGATATTTTGTTTCAGGAAATGTTTTTTTTCGTTAAATAATACTTTGTTGTTTTTGATTTGAAATATTCCTTTGTAAATATCCTTATGATTATAGTAAATATTCCTTCCTGAGCATTCTCCTGAAGTTGGCTAATCCTTGCCTCTTTCGAACTAATAAGGACCCACGAAGCACTCTGTGTGCGATAACCCGACCTGAAGGACATTAGCCCTTTCTTCTGGCAGCCCTTTTCTAAAGTTTATGCAGAACATGAATTGCATCTGCAATTTGAGAGTGAGTGGTAAATTCAAGGTGTGTTAGATATTAAATACTAACCGACGATTGAAACTTAAGTCCATCGTGAAGTTATTTTTATTAGCTTCAGGTTGGGTAATGACGCCATTAGTTGTCACATCAAGCACAAAGAATACACTGGGTGGGCAGAGGCCTTCGTGAAAATTTTGGACTAAACCTCCCCTAGCTCTTTGTAATAAAACATTTGGATATTCTTTATGTTGTTGGGAGACTCAGTGTATTGCACCCGTCTTTTGTGTTGATACCAACCTGAGAACAAGTCATACCGTTCTGCATCATGCAACTACCAACTTATGGAAACTTAAATAATGTCTTCACGTGAAAAAAACTGAACCATCGATGAATATGACCTTGTAATATAACGTCATCTTCTCTAATCTAAAGCAATGAAGGAAAATATTACAGGTGCATAGAAAACGGTTAAAAATATAAGAACACTTTATTTAGAGAGAAAAAAAGCATCAAAATGCAATATTATGTTGTTCAAGCAGGAACAGGAATGGATCACTACCCATCCTTTTGTTATCTTTTCGCCACAAATATTCCACAAGATAGCTGTCCAAATAATTTTGACGTAAACTGACGCATGAGAGCCGTTGACGTAAGGGGGTGCAGTTGGCTTTCAATAGTGTTTCCTCTATCTCCAAATACCTTTCCTCTGTTTCATCAGTTATTAATGCACCACAATTCGCGCAAGGCATTTGAGTGGCAATGAGTCGATGTTCCCGATACCAATGTTGACTGCCTTATTTCCCACAACATTTGACCAAGTCATCCAATTTATGTTGAAATGACAAACAACAGTGTATACTGTTACGCGCACGTTTTCTTGAGCCCCAGCATACTTTCCCCCACTCCATTACTAACATTAGTTAAATTCAGAATAAATGTTGGTGATGAGCGACAAAATCTAATTATCAGAAATGTTTGCTGACGAGTAATAGTAGCTAATTTTCAAATGAAAATGATCTACAGGTTTATATAATCGTCCTGTCGTCGAAATAACCAATCCACTCGCATCTAGCGAAATCAGTGCTCAAGAAAACGTGCGCAGATAATACTAATATCTACTTAGATTACGAAGCTTTGCAATTGAACGAGAATATTATTGTTGTATTGGCAAACCTATAGAAACATATGAAGAACGAAATCCGTTATACCCCAACATGTAAACATAGAGGAGAGATACAATATATCTCTACTCGATGGATGTAGAGAACAGCGAAACATTTAATAGATGATAGATAGAATTTATAGAAATTAGATAAATGTGTTCAATCCCTGATTTTCCCATTTTACTTTATAATTTGGGTAAGAAGCTTTTCAAACTATTTGACAGCCCGGGTTCAATATAGAATGTCTCATTAATTGTTATTAAATTTTTAGTTTCATTATCCTTGTGTCTTTTATTCATTTTCTTGTAAAATATGATGTTAATAAAAAAATGTAAATGGTTTAGGGGTCTCGGAAATTTGCCTGCCCCATGCTCATGCAAAAGAATATTCGCATTGCAACAATTAAACACTTATTTTTTTGATCTAAAACATTCAGGGGTTGAATATCGGTTAACCATTACGGAGTCGAGTAAATTTGACAATTTGCAAGTGGCCACTACTGGAGTAAATTCGGAATTTGGAAATAAAAAATACAACAAATTAAAAATTGTCCGTTTTTAGGAACGGGACCTATTCAGAAAGAAATATGCCAATTGTTCTTTCAATCTCACACAAGGAATTTATTACTGTAGCCCTAAAATTTTGAGAAAATTACGAAACACTGCTGGTGCTTTTACCATAATTAAAGCGATTTTTAAGGAAATTGAACTTTAGTGACTACACTAATAGAACGGATGACCTTTTCCAGGACACTTATAACCTTCACAACACGGCCATCTCAGCGGTCAATTTTCGCCGGAACCAATTGTGATCGCTTAATACAGCTTATACTCTGTTAATACCTTTGTATATGGCCAAAAATCAATTACATAAACGTAAACTGACATTGGAAGTGTGTATAATGTAATAAATGTCTCCACCAATGAATACCAAAGCGTTCGTTGTGTCCATTTCGCAGCGATCTCACAAAGTTCACTCACACCTGCTCTCTTGCAGAGAGGGGATCCCATGGGATCTTTTCATCCGCTCCCCGAGCTTTCCGCATGCGCGAAAGCGATTTGAAGGTCATATAGGCGGCGGCGGTGGTGTAACGGTTAGCGTACTGGACTGTTGTACCCAAGTTGGCGGGTTCAAACCCGATCGAAGCCGTGGATTTTTAAGGGCGAAAAAATCCTTCGTACGCCTTCCTTCGGAGGGGAAGTAAAGCCGGCTGTCCCATGTTCGTAGATTTACTTGCATGTAAAAGATCCTCAAGCCTAAATGACGCCTCTGAGCTAAATTCAAATCGCCTGTTTCTCGCCCAAGTAATACCTCCTTTCTCTCCTTGTTGGTGAAAGGAGCGTAGCGAAATTTGCGTGGTCAGACGGAAGAGCGGGCCTGATGGCCCGAGTCTCGCCACGTAAAATAAGGCAAATTCAATCAATCAATCAATATAGGTGCCCCTTCGCGCGAGGACCCTGATCTTCTCAGATCATCGAGATGGTTGACTATAAAAACAAAAATAATGGAGCTGTCACCTTTGCTCACCTCTACTCTCACTGGGATCTTGTCATCGGACCTTGGAAAAAGTCGCTTGTGGCAAAGCGATCTATACTAGGTCGATCGTGTTCTCTGCTTATCGGCTCTAATCCCCAGGTCCTTGAGGTGGTTGACTAACATAAACCAGCTGAGATGAATCACGACAACTGTTATTGTCTCAGCAGCGTCCCTGACTGGGAGGTTCTCGGGTTCGAATGCCGGCAGAAGTGGATTTTCGACTTTTTATGGTCAGTTTGACGAATTCAGCCGCTGTCTGGAGGTGAGTTCTAGCGACCGGCAGCTCTGATCGGTAGATTTCCACATGCACGAAAGCGATTTGAAAGTCACATGTGTGCCCCTTTGCGCGAGGACCCTGATCTCCTTCCAATGTCATCGAGATGGTCGACTATAAAAACAGAAAACAAAAATCATGGAGCTGCTTTCTCCGATTAAGGACCAAGCGAATACCGGAGCAGTGCCTTAACGCGTGATCTTTCCTTCCTCATCTTTCTCTCCTCCTCTCACACCCACACTTACGTGCATTGCTCGTAAGTCGGGAACTTAGAGTTCGCCTCAGTTTCGGCGGTGCCTCACTGGCGGGCAATGCTAGATTGCCAAAGAGGCTGAGGAGCGGGCGAATTTCAACTGATGCAAAATTTAATAAAGCAAAGTTTTCAATATTTTTGTAGAAATATTTCTTTCTATATTTTTAACAAAAGAAAGTGTTAATTAATCAAATATATTCATCACATAAAATTAATACAATATATCGTACAATATGTATTTCCAAATGTCGAAATAATAATAATAATAATAATAATAATAATAATAATAATAATAATAATAATAATAATAATAATGTAAATGATATCAATGTAGCAACTACAGAAAATTTAACAATATTAGTACATCCTATGTATAAAACTTGAAATTATTTTAAGAATGTAACGATGTATGTGACTAAGAGAAACTTAACGATTTTTCTGTACATTGTAATGCGTAAAAACTTATCTGTGATCCAGTCTTCAACAAGACACGTTGAATGCATTATCTCTGTTATACACAGAAAATGACCCTTTAGGACGCTTATAGAGTTTGAAGACTGTTAAGAAATTTGCCAAGGCTAAAGCGAGAAAATGAGATTTCGTATGACAACTACCGTATGTACACCTAAATTTTATTTTGACTTTAATATCAATTGTTTGTACCAAAATGTAAATAATTCTCAAATGTAGAAATTATTTATAATTACTTTGTATTTTTAATTTATTGACCTAAAATGTTTAATGTTATAAAAGTGAGCAAATATGTAATCAATTATTTATATGTATACAATATTTGCATTGGTTACAAATATTGTACAACAGTTTTTTTCAAAATATTATAAATAGCTTTAATGTTAAAGGAGCGAAAAAAAGGGTGCTAAAATATTTGACTGCTTAGGACGCACGTAAGTCTAAGTCAGGCACTGCTGGCGGGGATGCCTGGCGAGGAGAAATCATACAAGCCGACATTTTTGCCGGCGCCGGATTTTTCGTTTCAGCGGAAGAGGAACACCCAACACCTCCCGGCATAACTTGTTCTACGCTTATGGGTTTAATCACTAAGCAGTTGACATACACGGAAACAAAATAATTTGACGTACACGATGCGCCTCTCTACTCTTTCCGCTGACAGCCTATACTCTCTGGCCTACGGTTCGTTCTCTCTTGTCTGAATTGCACGTAATGTAAAGGAAATGTCATGCAATTATCAATCGCCAGAGCAATTTTACAAATGCGCATGTAATTTGATTTAACTAAATATATTTATATAACGTAAATTTTTAGTTATAGTGAAGATATGCTACGACTGGCACGAGCCACCATTGGCAATGACACGAAATGTCAACAATTTACAGAGTCAATAATTGAAAACAAGTACAATTTGATAAGTTGAAACCGAGTTTCTCCCTATTTTCCTTAAAATGGTGGGATATTTTGTTTGATTCATGTTGCAGTGACATCTAATAAAACAAGAAAAATTCATTCCAAATCTCGGTGATCTCAATTGCGGATGCAGTGCAGACATTGTCGACGTAGCGCGCAGGATTGCACTTGTAGTCCCCGCTCCGAGCGGCACAGGCGCTGTAGCACCCTGGGAAAGGGGGCGAAGGATACGGAAGGATGTGAAGTGACAGAACAGAATATTGGTAGTAGCACACGGGCAGTGCAACACTGTGGGAACGGAAGCAGCTGTTATGCTTCCTCCGGTACATTTGTCTCCGTTGATGATTCGTGTAAATTATTCACATATTCGAATATTTAAATTAGGTAGTTCGTTGGTTTGTTTGTGGAAGCATTTTGTTACATCTATGTCGTGAATGTCATTTACTTGGTTCGATTTCGTTGTGTCGTGGTAATTGTATTAAGTTAGTCATATAATATAATTTTTCGTTGACATTTCATACTTCAAATTAATATACGATATGTCCGAGTACTTTAATAAGGCAGTTGTCACTTCTGTTCTGATGATCGTTCTGCAACCTCGTAAATGAGACGTGACTGTGATCACATTTTATGAAGTAGGAATGCAAAATGCCAGGAGAACACTTGAAACCGCTCTATAAGGGCAAATGCCTAGAAGATTTAAAACAATTTTTCGAAATTACGATTGAAACTGATCCCAAAAGGTTTGTGAAAAGACTTACTTGTACATTTAACATTGCTGATTCAGATTAATTAAGGTTATAATTTATCTGTAGGTTATACAGGTCTGCTCCAAAGTTATTTAGAGCTGCGGAAGAACAACGCCTGAAAGGAGATGAAGAACTTAGTTACATATATTATATGAAATTTCTGTCAATTGTCCAGCGATTTAAACAGTATAAAAATAGTAATAGAAAAGAAATACTAGATTCAGGGGAAGTTAAAAAACAACATGTTACTGAAGCACTAGATTTTGCAGAAAAATTGTCCAGCAGTTTGGAAGATAGGTGAGTCATGTTTGGAGATATGGAAATAATTTTGTTTCAAAATCTTTGTAGGTGATTGAATCAATAGTCATTGCAGTTTTGAACTGTTTAGTTGTAAATATTTTACTAATTGTAATTATGTGTTAAGTAATACATTTGCTTAAAACCTCTTGGCAAAGTGAAGGATTGTAAACATTCTTATGCAATTCCTTTATCTGTTAAAGATAATTATTCTATTAAACTATTATTAAGAACATTGAAATTTTTATTGTGTTTCAAGAAATATATTTGTCATTACTCTGTTATTATTTATGCCCCTAATTTTATTATTACTTAAAAATAATAAAATTTTGTGAATAAACCATTTTTTCTTCTTCAAAGTTTAAAATTCATTTCTGAAAAAATTGATTATATTGAAGTTTTGAAGAAGAGGTTATAGGTGTATACTCATTAGTTTTGTATCAAATTAATTGCTTTGGCGTATTGTTTAAATAGAATGTTCTATTTCAGTTACAAGATAATAGTCCATTTATTTTTCTTCTAAAAAAAAAAAATTCTGTTTCCATTTATTGAACCCTATTTATGTTTCAATCCATCTTAATTTTTAAGTTTTCTTTGAGAATTATTATTCAGATGAATGCTCTTTGAAAGTTAACTATCCATTGTGAAATTATGTTTGAGTGGAGTTTTTTTTCCTTTCTCTCTCTCTCTAGGTATGCAGAACTTAAGAAAAGAGAAACTGAAGCATACCTTGCTAAAAAATTGAAAGAGAGTGTTGTTGCTGAAAAAGTGACAAATGTGCAAGTAATACCTCAGCCAATTCAAAAGTCAAATGGATTTGCAGGTATTATAAATACAAATTTGCTGATTTTGTTGCAAGTATGCCTATTATATGGGAGAAAATTAATTTAATTGATGTGCACTCTTTATGACATTATATACTTTCTTTTTCAGCTTGTTGTAAGTAAAATGTATAATTTGATACTTTTATTTCTACAAAAAGGGACATTGCTTTGTTAGCTATTTGCGAGGAATATAGGGTTGAAAAATTAAACAGTATAAACTTTTCATTTGTTTTTAAAAACGAAGAACTGAAATAATGAAAATGTATTCTATAAAATTTGAATGTTTTGCTCGCTTTACAGATGTATCAAAAGAATTTATGTCGTGTGCGAAATTGTATAACCTTTTGGATGAAAAAAGAAAATTGCTTATAATGGACGTTAGGTCAGTAAGTTCCTACAATGATTCCCATCTGAAAGCAGAATGTGTAATAAATGTTCCTGACAATGTTGTGGAGGCAGGGTAAGTGGAATTAAATAGAAATTTGGATAGGTCAAGTCATAAATTGTGAAAAACTCAGCAATCAGAATTTTTTACTTGTAATACATGAAAATTTCAGAGTGATTTGCACAAGTGAGTTTTAAATTTTCTTGTTTTCTTTTTAACTATCTGATCATTTTATCAAACTGGATATGTAGTATTCATTCCTATTATGTTGAATATAAATGATTTTGGTAAATTCATTCCAGCGATCCCTTCAGTTAATTATGATAAATTTATTTCTAGAATGACATCTTCAAGATTGGAAAAAGTGTTACCGGCAGCTTCAAAGATACTGTGGTCTATGCGTGGGGTAGTAGATTTAGTGGTTCTAATTGACTGGTCAACCTCGGTTAATACTCAGAAATCAGATTTAGCCATATTTATTGTGAGAGATATTCTTGTGAAGGTAATGCTTAAGTTATATATTTGGACGAGAATTTAATGACACTTACATCAGATCTTAATTTGTAGCTTTTGTTTTAGTGGGATTCTGACGTAATTTATAAGAATTGCCCCCTGATTCTTGAAGGAGGATACGAAGAATGGTTGTTAAGATATCCTGTTTGTACTACAAATCCTTCCCCCAAAATTATTCCAAATGTGCCAAGTTATTCTTCAAGTGATTTTTTGGGTAAGATAATGCACTTTTCATTTTGATTTATTTGCTGGAATTGATAAGAAAGGTGCCACAGAAAAGTTGTATTAAAAAAAAGTTGTATTTCCGAATGTACAGCTTACTTCCTTTCAGCACAGTGGCCGTAATGATGAAATATGCTTTTGATAAGATATTCATCTCTCATTTACATAAACACAATACATTTGTCTAATACTGTTGAATATTTATATGTCTGGCTGGGTTTGTTTTTGGATTTATGTACAAGCGTGCATTTATGTTCATCCATACACTCTCTTTTTAAGGATTTCTTTAAAAATTGCGTCAATTCTGGTTTTGTTTTAAAATTATTTTTCCATGATAATGGTGCAAAATTTTTTGATATAGGATATGATACAATGTATTTTGTATTAAAATATGGAGGAAATGTATTTTTAATTAAAAATTCAACAAAAGTGTTAAAACTGCAAAGAGTGTTCAAAATGTTTCAACCATATAAAACTGTGGGATCTTTTTTTACCAGATCAAGTATCGGAAAAAAAAATTCCATTCATTTTGACATTCTAGATGCATGTGCTAATTTTTGATTTTGAATTTCAGATGACATAGAATATCCTAATTTCTTAGAAGGTTCAGATCAACCAACTATTGATCGATCTTCGAAACCTTCCTTCAATCACTCTTATCCTATGAAACCTTCTATATCTGCAAGTACTTTCTCCAAGCCTGTTGCCCCCAAATCTCCAAAGCTGCTTCCATCCACTCCATTCACAAACATCCCTTCAAAACCAGTGGCACCCAACAAAGGTCTAACTCCTGGTCCTACGGATTCTCGGCCCAGCGTAGACCGAAAGTCTAAAGCTGCAGCTTTGCTAACATATGAAGAGCGAAGTCGGAATGTTCAAGCACTGTTACGACAGGAGGAAGAAGTAGTGGCAACAACTCTGGAGATGGAAGAAGACAAGCTGAGGAAGGAAGAGGAAAGGGAGAAGATACGTCTCCGTAGGGAAATGGAGGCGGAGGAGGAGATGCGAGCATTTCTGCAGGAGAGGGAGGAGCAGTTGCTGAGAGACATCCAGAACCTTGAAAAGTTGCAGCAGGAGAAGGTAGTTCCTTCATGTGCTTCAGAACCCTCTTCACTCTCAAACATTTAAATTTATGCTTAGCAGGGATATGAACCTGTCCACCTGCTGTTCACAGCAATGTCAGAGTTTGTAGGTAGCTCTAATGGAACTTTTCTCTATAATGAAGGTTGTAAGTTTGGTTGTTATTTTGAAGTTTTAAAAATGAGTTTATTAAATGAACAAGAAATTTCTGCCTCAAATTTATACTATTTGAATTTCAGTAAACATAATTAGTAGTGTTTATGCCTAATTAATGGTAAAAGTTCTCTAACATTTTTTATTAAATATTTATTTTATCATGTGACCTACTTTAAGTGTCCTGTTTTTTTTTAAAAATCATTCTGAGATTGTTCTTTTGTCTTTAGTTGAAGAAAAATGTGTTGCACCCAGATACCTTTTGGCTATTATAACAGTAATTCTGATGAAAAAATCAACATTTTCTGGAAATAATCATCAATGAAAATTCTTGTTTCGAAATTATATTTCATTTTTGATGTTCCACTATTTAGCTTGGTTTTTAAGGATCAGCAGTTGAACTCGGGAAATATGAAATTACAATATACAAAAAACATTAATTTGGCAATTGGGTTTATTTTCATAAAATTAAATTTAAATCTTTGAAATAACAAATTTGAACGTATATAAGACATTTCATCATAGTTTTTGGAACTTTTGAGATTTGTTTGAAGAGAAGGCTTGAAAAGAGTGCATTTTTTGTTTTATTTTGTAGGATAAGGAAAATCAGGCATTAAGGGAAGAATTAGCGGAATATAAAAAGAAAGAGCAAGAAGAAAGTTTGCCTAGAGAATATTCTGTCTACAAGGAACAAGAAGAAGCAATTGCTGCAAGAATACGGAACTCTGAAGAAAAGCGGAAAAAGCTAGTGCAAGACCGAGAAAGGTGTGAACATTTTGCCATATCTTAGTTTGATTTTAATAATTTTGTTTCTTATTTATAAAGTTTGGTTAATTTGTTTTAATTGGTGCAGTAAAAAGGTGCGGGAGGAATACTATAGTCAAAAGAAAAAACTATCAATGGATGAAGCTTTGAATCCCAGTCCAATCAAATTGACCTATGAGGAAAGGGAAGCACAAGCACTTGCAAAACTTCAGCAAGATCGTCTGCACAGGGAGAAGCAAAAGCAGGTTGGTATGATATAAAACTCAATTTAGCAAAGGGGTGGGTTTAATAATTTCAAATTCATATGTATGTGAATTTAGAACATTCTTCTTGATTTCTGTTTATAAAATTGACTTCAATTTCGAAAAGCAGGAGAAAGGGGTTGCAAATGTCTAAAAATTCTGAAATGGAAAAAAATTGGTTACTACTGACTTAATGAGGCACGAATGTTATTTCAAAATTTTTAACTTGCATCTTTTCATTTATGCACAAGCAGAGATAAAATGATTTGAGTAGATTTTGAAAGTAATTTTTTTTATTACACACATACTATATTGTTCTGCTTATGAATATTTATTGTTTTCATTGAAAGTGTAGTTAAAGGCAATTGACTTCATTACCTATTTGAATTCTTGATCTGTGATTTACATTTTCTGCAGGGAAAAGTAGATGACATGGCTAAAGAGAGAGGTCATCAAGATACTGAAGATTTCCATAGCAACAGATCCCCTGTGCCAAGCAAAAGCCCTCTTGAAGTGAACAGAGATCTCAAAAAGTCAATGGAGACCAGAAATGAACAACCTACCAACTTCAAAAATAAAATGAATGGTAGAGTACAAATCAAAATTTAAGCAACAATAAGGACAGAAAATGGTTCAGATTTGTGTAGTTTAACTTAATTACATCAAATATTTTCTTTCTTAAGTATTTCCTCATTGAAAACAGTTCTAACTTTCTTTTCTTGATTTATGAGCTTAGAATTTCAATTGAAGAAGGAAGTTTGAACACATTTCTGTTAAAACAGGAACATACACAGCTCCTCTGAAAGACACTCCATCGGGTATGATGAAACGTTCTCGATCTTCTCCTAATATTGCTCAGGTACAGGTCTTGTAATACTCCCCAATAAATTGTAAGCTCCTTTTTTCAGATTTTTAATTGAATTTCTTTAACAGCTGAATGATGAAGATCTGAATGGAAGAGGAAAACCAATGAAAACAAATTTTGCATCAGACATCCGAGCCAGTAGGCAGCGTAACTTCAGCCCAGTGTATGGTGATTTGGTAAGTGCTTTCATTAGAGCTTATTTCTTTGATGATTCTACATTAATTTTTGAGACAAAACGAAGAATTATTTGAAAATTTCTGTACTTTTTCAGAACTTTAAGATTTGATTTAAAATTTATTTGTAATGAAGGAATTAAGGTCATGGTTAAATTGTGTGATGAGATGAAGAATTATTAAAAATGTGGACATTTTTTCTACATCATTTTCTACAATTTTTATTACTGAATGATAACACAAAGTGCTCTATGAGTTAATTAAAATTTAATAATCTAATTATTAAAATACGTATTAAAAATATTTAATATTTTTGCTTCGTATTGTTTGTAAAATTTTTATGTCAGTGTTTTCAATTTGTGCCATAGTGAAAATTTGTTAGGAAAGGAGAATATGGTAATGCTGAAAGCAAAATTGCAAAATTATATGGAGTAGAGTAATTTCTTTGTTGTTTTTTGTGTTTGCAATAGTTTCTGATCAGTGCCAAGGTCTATCCATGCTCTATCATTTAAAGGTCCTATTAATCAGGTCATGCTTAGTGTGAGTCCAAAAGATGCATATGAAAAAACAAAAGGTTGTTTAAATATAGAAAGTAATTAAAGTAAATTTAAATTTATTTGTAATGGGGGAATTAAGGTCATTGTGTGATGTGGTGAATAATTAAAAATGTCCATAAGAAGAAGTAAGAAGGAATAAAGGATGCTCTGTAATATGAGGACTTTTGAGCAGTGACATGAGAGAGGGTTGAAGAGAATATGACCAAATATCACAGTAGAGAAATAATCAATGTAATTGTAATTGCAGAAAAATATTACGTTTGTATATTTTGTAATATAGTTTTAAAACTCATCAGGAAGGATCATATAATTAAATTTTAAAAAAATTACAAAGCAGCTTCTAATGTATTATTGAAAATTAAATGTTGCCCAAAGGTCAAGGAAATTATAAACCAAGATTTTTTTAAAAAGGTAATAGCATTTTTTTAAACTGAAGCAAAAAATTACTTTGGTTTCAACAAAATCTAGATGAAGTCTCTTTTTATGAGGGGGGTGGGTATTTCCTTACGGCAGTGTATTGAATGCAATTTCAGAGAGCCATTCATGAAATTGAATCTATTAATAAAACTAAAGAAATTCCTATTTACTCCTTATGGGATGAATTATTTTTCAAATCGTAATCATTGCCTTCAGCCTATAAAATGTACTTCAAAACAAAGGTTTGAAGGATCATAGTTTTGTAGTTTTAAAAACTGGAAGTTTTGTGGAGATGTGTAAAGAATCATATTGTTTAAGCCACTTAGTTCTGTAAGCTGCCAAGAGGGATTTCCGCGTGACTGAGTTGGGTGTGTGGTAGTGAGTTGCGAGTGGTGTGGTTTCTGTAGGGCTTCCTTTTGAGGGAGAAGCCTCAGAAAGGAGCTTGTGCACGTGAGGAGGGCTAGGCGGGACACGTTGTGTCTGCTCCTGACACATGTGATCCTCCGTTCAGGATGCAGTCATTAGAGGGATGGACCTCGGGTGTGACACTGGTTTGGAACAATGGTGCAGTTACATGCAAAATTCTCTCCTCATCTTATCTTTCTGTTTTTACTTAAGAAGGTTTGACATTCTAAGATGTATTGTTAATTGCAAGTGACCCTGTCACAAACATAATCATTAATGATTCCTGTTCTGTTTTTGAATTTTTTAAGGTGTATTTTGAACATCTTTTTCTGATAATGGAATGTAACAATAAATGAATTCACTGTATTCACTTAATAGAAAATATTATGTTCATTGTATTCTGAAAGAAGGTTTTGTCAGTGGTATGTTTTTTCTTTTCTTTAGGGTCGAGGTTTAACTGGGTTGAAAAATTTGGGTAATACCTGCTACATGAACTCGATAATTCAGTGCCTCAGTAACACAACTCCTCTTGCCAAATATTTTGTGAGTGGCCAATATCGAAATGACATTAATCGGCATAATGAGACCCGAGGAGAAATTGCAGAAGAGGTGGCTGCTGTTGTTCGTGCACTATGGAGCAGCAGTTACAAATGCATAGCAACAAGGGATCTACGTGTAAGTTATCTTTTACTTTCATAATGGAAATCTCTTTCTTTTAAAGAAAAGACCAGTAGCCATTAATGGCATAATGGCGTAAAATGGTGTAATCATTTTGAATTCTATTTTTTGAGGGAGTAACTGAAAATGTAAATTTAAAAGTATTATAGATGAGCAGTATTTCTGATATGTTGGCAGAAAGAAGCAATAATAGTATCTTATTAAAAGTGAGATATTTTAATGTATCAGTATCAATGTAAGTGATTTTTGTGTTATAGAGTGTAGTGGGGAGACATCGAGATCAGTTTCAAACAAACCAGCAACAAGACTCCAATGAATTTCTCACCATTCTCATGGATTGGCTTCATGAAGATCTCAAGAAGGTAATTTGAATATAGAAAAGAGAGCCATTTTTTCCTGGTAGATCTCTCAAACAGTAAGAAATGAGAATGATTCAGTAATAAACTAATATTTAGCAAATTCTTTCACAAAAATCTCTTTTGTTGTTTGTTTTTTGAAATTAATAATAAAGAAGAGAAATCTGTATTACCGTTACATTTCAAAAATTAATGAATATTTCATCCGAAAACATTTGTTTCATTGTTTTTAATTTGAAATTATTAAGATAGCTCCAAATAGTTTGTATTCAAATTATTCAATATTCTTTGAGTCTGAAGGTGGAAAAAATATCCTTTTGAAAGTTCCCATCAAAAATGTATTTTTTAAATGTCATTTCCATTAACGTTCAGATTTTGTAATTCTAATCTTCATTAATTTTTTTCTCATCAGCCATCCGTAAAATCAATAGGAGATGTGGGAAGAGACCAAGATGACTGGGAGAAGCAATGGGATGAATTCTACAAAGAAAACACTTCCTTAATTGTGCTTCTTTTCTATGGACAGCAGAAATCTACTGTTCGGTGTCTGAAGTGTTTCAAAGAATCTGTGAAATATGAAACCTTTTCCAATCTCACCTTACCTCTGCCAAGCAATATCAACTCCTGCACACTGGAAGTGAGTGCACAATATAGTCTTTTTTGCTTGTTGTAGATATGAAATAAGTTTTCTTCTCTGGACTAAGGAGTATTGACTGAATTTTTCAACTCGAAGCAAACCCCAGAGACCTAAGACCAGATAATGATTCTGAAATATTTTGGATGCTGTGATCTGTTAAGTTGTGTAGTTTGGAAGATTATTCATTGAAGAAAAATGCTTTTTTTGCGATTGATGTTGAACAACTTTAATATGCTGAAGGTTTAATCAGGTGTTAAAAAAATGTTGGTTACACTGGGGAATTTCACTGTGCTATTTACATTATCATACAGGAATGTAATATTTTTTTGGGAACAAGGCAGGATAGTGGTAAAGGTTTAGGGTTGTCAGAAAAAGAGTGATGTCACTCATCAAACCTTTTGTATCTTTTGCCACAGTAGAGAGCTTCCTGGTTGTGGCTTTCAATCAGTTGTTTTAATAATTGAAATAAAGTCAAACGTTTTTAGAAACACTTGTGGCAGTATTATATTGTGTAGTAAAGAGGCAATGTCATCCTTGTTCTAACTGGGCAGAATGGCAGATCTGTCTGAAAGTGTTGGGACAACCTACAGGAGACACTTGGGCTGTTCGTGTGGGAGAGACAACTTATGACAAGACTCTCACCAATTCAGTTGTAATATTATTTGTTATTTTATTTATTTGTATTTATTGTGCATGTACTTTTCCCATAGGAGTGTGTGCAGTTGTATGTACGAGGAGAGCATATTACTGGTTGGAAATGTCCAGCTTGCAAGGAACAACGTGATGCCATGAAAAAATTTGATATTATTAAATTACCTCCCATTCTGGTAATACATTTTAAAAGGTAAAAATCTATATTTTATTGTGTACTTTTATCATGATAAGGAAATTACTGAACTCGTACAATTCTATCACGCTAAGGAAAACCCATAGTCTTATGAAATGTGTGTGAATCTAGGTTTAAAAGTTTGTGCATTGTTTGTAGGTTTTATATTGATGGATGGTGCCGGAAAAGACAGACTTTTGTTCAGTTTCCTTTAGTCAATTTGGACATGAAAAAGCACACCCTTCTTCCAGATCAGAAATACATAAAGTACAATTTATATGGTGTTTCTAATCATTATGGTACAATGGAAGGTGGCCATTACACAGCCTACTGCAAAAGTGTGGAGCACAAAAAGTGGTATAAGTTTGATGACAACGAGGTAAGTGAAATTTCACCTGGAGAAGTGCAGTCCGGTGCTGCATACATCCTCTTCTATGCTTCGATCAATTTTAATGTCCCTGATGTTAGTTGAATACTTAAATGTGAATGCTATTATAGCACAATGTACTTGTAATATTAGTACAAAACCAATTGTTTTATTGTTGGATTTCCCTTTAAACTTGGTAGACTGCTATGCAATTGGGCTGAAGAATCCCAAATAATAACCTTGTTTGTTAAAGGGTGAATGTTCCAACTAAGATTTTGACTTGATTTGTTCAGCATTCATGGTAATGCATTTAATATAGTTTTTATTGAAGCTATAACTGTATTGTTTGCTCAGAACTGTGTTGTAAGTTATGTTTGTTCATTTCTTACTTCAATTCACTACCACAACTATGTGTTGACTCATTTAACTGAATCTAGGATAATATTGATTTAACACAATATGAAGATTTTCAGTTTAATCTTTGATATATATCTACATAATATGTAGTAAAAGGATATTATTATACTTAATCAGCAAGGCAGTGATGTGGTATCACTTGCTAGAAGAATCTATTTTATGTTTCAATGAAATATGACTCAGGCATATTTGCGCTGTAAAAGAATTTGAGTATAGCTCGTCTTAGTACTTGATTTGCAACAGTAAACATTTCTTAGCTGCTCATTAAAATGTTACAAGAAATGTATTTAACTTACTGTAGTGTCTCTGACATTAGCCTTGTAAATATAATATTGTGGAGTGAGCATACAGTACTGATACATTGTGAAAGTGGTTTGTTGTGAATTGGTTATATACATTCCACTTGGGACTGAATTTGTATTAATGTATATATGTATGTGTAACAGAAAATAATGTCTTCAAAAAGTTTGTGAGGTTTATAATGTGTGAATATTGTACAGAGACATCATGTCATATTTTCTTATGAGTGTTCATAAATATACAAAAGAATATATGCAAAATGAACAATATTTAATATATATGAAATATAGATATATATTTGGGCTTCTTTGAGTATTGTGATTTTGTTTTTCTTTAATCTAAAAGATAATATTGCCTTTTCTGGTGGCCACGAATGTTAGCACGGTACCAAAAAATAAGTATTCATTATCTTAATGGATGCGCATGTGCAGTATTCCTCTTGTATTAAGCAAATCACTTGGCAGCCAAGAAGGAGGTTTGTAGTCACTTTGTCACTGACTCATGTTACAAGCAGAAGCTGTGATTTGGGTTAATAGCATACTTCTCCTTAACATAATTTATTCAATTAGTCTGTTGTACTCCTTACAGCAGTGTCAACATTCAGCTTAAACTACTCCACTTATGTTACATCCTCTCTGTATGTAGTATCTCAGACTGTATAAAGACTTCAAATATAAAATTGTGTTTTATTTTTTAAAGAATCATTTAAATATAAATATTAATCTTCTTACACAACTACACTCTCATGCTAAGAAAATAAGAAATATATTCAGGCATGGCTAGATAAATGGACAAGAGTGACACTCTATAATAGGCAATAAATTTTTAAATTAATTAAAAAATGTTAAGTGAGAATACATTTTTGTTTGTTTGTTTGTTTTTGTTTTTATTCAAAAATATTTATAAACTAGCTGAAGCCCAGCATTGCCAAGGTGATGTACAAATGAGTTTTACATTTATCACAATCATCTTATTGAAAAAAATAATTATATCTATAGTATAAAATGGACATAATCTTATTTACATCCATTCTAGTTCGTTGGGCACTTCTCCAACCTGCTTCATCACACCTTTCTGAGTTACAGCTGCTGTAGCTTTACAGAGGAATAGCTTCCTCCCCATAGATTTGCTTCCATATCTCTCCTTCAATAGTTTTTCTGTTTTGTAGCTCCCTTGCTCTGAAGCACATGAGTTAGTACCTCCCTAGTCTGTCCTACATGGCAGTCATTTGGAGCTTAATGAGTTGATAATTCCATCACCATGAACTTTGCAAGTTGGTTGCACTCCACCCATAACTTCGCAGAGTTGTAGGTCCCTCACCCAAGGCTTCATGAGTTAGTGCAATTTTGTTGCTTTCTCATCCAGAGCTTCACAAGGTCATAACTATCCCAACCATTGCTTCACTGGCTCATATTTCTATCATACAGAGATAGCTTCTTTAGTTTATAGCTCTCTTCTACCCAAAGCTTTGCAGTCTTAGTGCTTCCACCTATAGTTTCACAGGATTTTGTATCCTCTGTTATTATCTTCAGAAGTTGTAGCTTGCCTGTCCTGAACATTTTGGGTTGATATCTCCCTTAGCCTTAGCATTACAAATTTCACCAATAATTTCGCAAGTTTGCAGCTCACCATCTTTGAGCTCTGTAGTTGGTACTTTTCACCCTAATAATTTTTGCTGGAATTTCTTTTCTGTAGCGAGACCATCTCACACTCCAGCTATGAAATATTGTCCATATTTCACCCCAGGAAAAGGAAGGAATTGAAGGATAATGGATAGACAAAAGAAATAGGAATAAATCTAGCTGATTAGATGGTATCTCAATGGTATGGCGTTTCTTTGCCTCCTCCACCAGGACATGTTGGGCCTAAGAGTGATTATATTGCTGTAGATCCGTATTATACTGGAACAGTGAGCCATACCTGCCTTGAACATCAGTGCTGCTACAAGATGGCTCCCATTTGCAATAAGGTAATTTATAAAACCTTAGAAAGGGACTTTTGAATGATGAAGTTGCTATTGCTGAAAAAGGAAGGATCTTGGAAGAATTGGATTTTGAATTTGGTTTCTTTGATGAACGATAATGATGATCATTGTGTTGACAGAAACTTTGTTAAGCATGATACAGACGTTAGTCATTCAACGTATTCTAATAGGGAATGGTATGATGTCAGTGGTAGTCGTTTGAAAATAATTTTATTTACTGGTCTAGAAAAGTACAGTTATAAATCCACTTATTCCCCGGATAAGAATGATTTGGAACCTCATGTTTACCTAGTTTTGATGACGAGGTAGTTAATTTGATTGTGACTGAAACCAACAGAAATGCTACCCAGTATTTAGATAACAATGTTAGTCCTAGCGTGTGAATGAAGTGCTGGATAGGTATTGTCAAGTACATGGGACTGGTGGCATACCCAACAATAGAAGATTATTGGAGCAGAAATGTCCTTTTCAAAAATAATATTTTACCTAAAAGCATGAACAGAAAATGGTTTCAGTTACTGCTATGTTGTGTTCATTTTGCGGACAATAAATCAGCTAAAGAAGGTAAAAGAACTCACAAATTCAAAGAAATGATGCTTGATAACGTACACAGGTCCTATGAATGTTGTGGGTAAAAATGTGTTAGCAATAGTCCTGTTGGAGCTTGCGGATGATTAATGTTGGCAAGGGCCGAACAATTGTTATTGATACCTATTACATGCCAGTTCCTCTCACAAAACAACTCCTTGAAAAGAAACATTTGCTTGGGACATTGAAAAAGAACAGGAGGTATCTTCCACTAATTATTCAAAATTAAATAAAAAGGGGGAAATTGTAGGAAAGGAGTCTTCTGATGGTATTGTTGTGGGAAAATGGAAGGTCAAAAAATAAGTATTTTCTCTGTCAAGAAAACAAGTTTTAGATATGGTTACAACTGCTGAAAAAGACTGAACTGAGACTGAAAAACCGAAACCTGCTCAGGTTGTTGACTATAATAAGGGAATGCAAGGAATTTTCATTTCTGACAAAATGACTAGTTACTTTTCACTCTTATGAAAAACCATTTGATAGTATAACAGTCGTTTTCAAATTTCTCTTGAACTCTTCAGTGGTAAATGCATAATTATCATTTAGAAAGTTAACAGGAAAGAAAATGCAGATGAAGAACGTCAAGGCAGGCATTATACAGCATTTACTTGTAGTTTCAATTGATCAAGAATCTAGAAGTCAACAAAGGTCACCAAAATCTCACAAACTGTTAGGAAATATGCAAAGTCACTGCCTAACAAGAGAAATATAAGAGAAACAGAATAGTGTGAACAAGGTGCCAGGAGTATTATGTAAAGATGGTTAAAATTCATGGAAGGACAGAAACTCTCAAAAGAGTAAAGAAAGTTGTTTACCTTGTCATGCCTGCAACAAATGGCATGTCTCAATTTGTTATTCACAAACAATAATAAATAAGTTAAAAAAATAATTTTTATATTTCATAATCCTACACTTCTAGTCTCTAATTAATCTCTTGTATTCAGGTTCATTTTTGGCTTTAGTTTGTCATTTCCCTTTTTATTGTAACAATACATTGGGATTTGGATGATGGTTTTGAAATAACTGAGCTAAAGCAGCTGGCATTAGGGGGTAACAAGTTACACCTAACTGCCATATTTCCACCGGCGTCCTCAATTTTTTTTTTTTTTTTTCAGAATATTGACATGTATTACACTTATATGGAAATGCAATAAAATTACTTCATATCATTAGATAATCAATAATTCTCTTTATTATGATTTGACCTAGAGGTAAACCATTATATATATAGCCTTGGCACTCAATGTGTTACGAACAGATTACTATTCCCAGTCGTGGAAGCATTCAATTATACATCGAATACCAAAACCAAACTAAAATCAATCACATGAAGAAATTTACAGACCTATCAGTCTTATTACATATTGTGTCAAAAATTTTACAAAAATTAATTCTCTTCAGATTAAATAAACACACAACAAACTCAATTCCACTACATCAGTTTTCTTATCCCTTACTCAATGACACTCCCAATGGCTAAAAATACATATTCACTCTGCCTTCCAAAGGACATCACGGACGGTTTGTAGATGTATCTCAAGCATTCGACAAAATAAGGCATTAAGTTCTTTACGTCAAATTAGTGCAAATTGTTGTGCTAAACTAATAAAAATTATCAAGAAACGTCTTTTGTAAAAGAACTTTCTTGGCAACAAGAAATAGTCGTTGATATAACCCAAGACAAATTTTTGCCGGTGTCTCTCAAGTTTCGTTGCTTTCTCCAACACTGTTTAACCAATACACTGCAGACATTCCGACAAGAATGTAAACATTGCCCTCAGCATCAATCACAAAACCAATAATATATCCTGTATTAAATTTATACACCAAATTCAACTGGAAACAGCACCATGCAATAAAAATACAGGACAAATCCAATTGTGACCTATACTAACTAACACACCCTATCTCACTATTAAAACTTCAAACCACTCTTTCGCCAAATATGCATGCCTTATCTGGGCCAATGTTGTTAATCTCTATAAAATGCAAATATTTCAAAACAAGTTCTTAAGACAACAAGATCTCCATGGTTCAACTGCAACAAATAGCTACATGATGAATAGTGCACCAAGTAGGATTCGTATCAAACTTACTCTTCATGAAGGCATCAACTCACTGCATCTGAAAAATCCCAGATACAGAACAAACATTAAGAACTGATTTGCCCCCAATTCTTTACTTAAAATATTGAATTATTCTTAGGAGATGCTATTGGTTCCTCGCCCAATATTAAAGTAGATAAAGTACTATTTTAAATTAGATTAAGTGAGCTCTAATTTACCTCACAATTGAAACGTTTTTTGTTAACTAAGCAATGCAATCTTTTAATTTCAACGAAACAATATAACCATTAAAAATAGATGATCCCAAGATTGTGTACTGTACACTATTGCGCGTTTACGTTTTAAAATGCCCGACTGGGCTCTTATCTCGCCTTGTCCGTCAACATTTAATTCGTGTATTATTAGCCATTTGTTAGCTGCCCCGGAGACATGTGCAAACGTTTCGGCTGCCATTCTGCGACCTTCCTCAGGGCGAAATGCCTATGGTCGCCCGACTACGGCCGCGGAAGCCTACGGCTCATTTCACTCGTATGTCAAAGACGCATTTTCTGTTCTAGTTGCGCAAATAACTCTTAAGCGCATTCTAAAGAAAAGAAGAGGAGTTCGATTTGTCAGTAACTGAAAATCAAAATTAATAGTTTGCGCTTCTCACGAAGGACGACCTTCCTGCTGCCGTAATCAGGGAGCTCAAACGTTCTAGGAAGATGATAAGTAGAGATATTTAAATATAATTCAGAACACAACTAGACTTACGAATAAAAGTACATCCTACCGCGAGAGCAAGAGAGAAATAAAACTACATTCTGTCGCGAGAGCAAGAGAGGTCGAACTACAATGATGATAGATCGTTTAAGCCACTCTGGCTCTCGCGGCAGGTTACGTCAGGTACCTTCAAGAAAACTTGCAGAGTCTTCTGTGGCGTCGTAGCTAAGTGATGACATAGATCCGAGCTCGATGTACAATCAGTTTATTTTCAATATATTTACTAACATGTACAGCTCTGGAGTAATTTTCGCTATTCTACCTCCCGTTACTCCTCAGCACACTGCTCCCCGCCGGTACTCGGATGCCCAGTGCAACGCATTCGCAGTGTGCGAGAAGGGCACGCCCTCCTCCCGGGCAAGCAGTTGCAAAGCGACCAGAATGAGAAACCACCCGCCTGGGCATCCCCGCATATTTTTGGCGGTCATGTGGTCGCCCACAGCCGAGGGCGGCCGTGCGGCCCACACATGCATGTTCTTGCGTATTGGGGTCTACTCCCCATCA